CCCTGAAACTATATTTGGTTGCTCTTACAGCAATTTTATTCAAGGAACCATTCAAAACAGTAAATTTTACTGGTTCACAGTATATTGTTACACAGTAAGACTTTGATATCTGAGGTAAGGGAAAACATTCAACCTATCAAGTTTTTTATGTGACGTTCGAGTTATCATGGTTACCAAAACTTGGTAGTAATGAGATGTTAAACACTATGGTACCGGTACGTCATGACCTTCATAACTCAACTTTTAAATTGCTATACCTTTATAACTCAAGCTCACGCTATTTCTATGCACTTGAGAGTAAATTGTAGAAGCAAGATAAAAATGTATTGTAAAGACACAGTACAGTATTTAATATACTGATTGAAGCCTTTTGCACGGTACAAACCAAGTTGACAACAATAATTTAGATAAAGTTGCTTGTTTATTTCAAATAGGCTACTGTATGAAATGCAAATCAACAATTATTTTGAAATAAATAGGCCTAGTACTGTGTTTGTTCCATCAAAACAAGACTTTTTGTTATGCTTGAAACCAAATTTTCATCACTTTCAGCTGTTACCTGTTTTAACCAGGGTTTCATATTTATTTTTGTTGTTGTATGTCAACATTTTACATTTACTGACGACATGACGTCCAATACCCACAAATTTCCACAACTCAACAAGAGTTAAAAAGAGCTAACTAGCACAGTAGGGCATAAAACTTGGAGTAATGAAGCAAATCATGAGAACTACGAATTATAAAGGTACACTTTGAATTATTGAGGCTTTTGAACGAGGACCTTCGAGTAATAGAGTACCTAAATTACATATCACAAAATGTCAAAACTCATTTTATCAAGGTTAAATATTTAAAAAGTTATAATGGTATTTTCAACAATGCGGTTTACCAGGATATCAAGGGGATTATGATAATTTGAGATAAAAAATAGTCCAAGATATCTAGGTACGAGTTATTAAGGTCCTACTGTAAAGTACTCTGTAAACTGTAAAGTAAAACAGAGTAGAACTGTGATGGTAGGAATTCTAACCATTACCTCATTATCAATGTAAATTGTTCAAGATGGAGGTTTTGTATTCTCTATAAACTGTTTTCGTTACTGTCCATAACAGATTAAACTTATCCAATACAGTTATATTGGTGTATATTATTGTACACACTAGGGGAGTAAAAAATAAGCCCATAATGCTCCTACAAGAATTCCCACTCAATTGAAATTGTTCAACATAAAGGGTTTGTATCCATCTTATTTATTTACCTTTACAAAAGAAATTCAAAAGATATTTCAAGGGCTTAAATATTGTAAGAACTAAAACTGAACAGTTAAAGTTCAGTACTTCTATTAGAAAGTAGTAACAAACATGGCTTTGAATTTTTAAATAGTTGTGATCCATTGAAACACAGCAAATATATTCTCAAAATTGTATTGCTTACAACTGTAGACAAAAACTATTATTTGTTAGGTGAATGGTTAGGGTGACAATATGACAAGTATACTCCTGGATGTGCAATTGATGATCCCAAGATTAATCGGAGTCATCGTTGGGACACTGAGACGGGCTGATGACTGCAGACGACACTGGACGAGCTAAAAACGCTGCAGGGTTGAATGGAACTTGCTGTAAAAACAAATATCATAAGTTATACAGTCTATTAATGATTATAGGAAATGGAAAATGGAAAGCAAAGCATAACAGGGAGTTGAGAGAGTTGTATAGGGATCCAGATAATGTAGCCAAGATGAGAAATAAAAGATTTAGGTGGGCCCATGTGTTTAGAAAGGAAGAGGGCTTCTTAGTGAAAAACCCCCTAATCAACAACCCCGACGGTAGAAGACCTCCTGGAAGGCCCAACTGAGGTAGAAAGATCAAGTAAGAAAATACCTGAGAAGAATGGGAAGAAGCAATAAATCGTGAAATCTGGAGGCAGTGTGTTGGCAAGGCAATTAATTTTAAATCTTACAATCTAGCGGAGAGAAAAAAAGTATCTAAAAAGGTATCCATTGATGCTGACCAACATTCTTTAAAACCAAATGACAGGTGAATTATAATAGTAACAGCTGATTCTTTAGATGAATATTTGACCAGTCAAAGAGGACATAATTGAAAATGGATTTTAAATAGCATTGACTACTTTTAGTAATAAACTTCAAACCTGATTGAGGTTTGATAATCACTCTGATCTGCAATCATCAAATTATATCTATAGTATATATCATATATATATATATATCCATAAAAAAATGTATCCATCATCAGATAACCACTAATTAAAAGATAAACATAGTTTTCTATTTTCAAGTACACGTACCGAACTTGCCTATTTCTTTGGAAATGTTGATTACTCTGATTATAAATACATATACAGTAGGACCTCACTAACTGGACAGTCAAAAGCTGACAGGGTGCACAAAATATAAGCTATTTCCCCAGAACATTTAGTTTTAATATACATTCAACTCAACATTTCTTTGAGGATTGTTTACTCAACATGTAAAAATACTCATGTTTGTAATAAAATTGTATGTAAAAATTAGTCTGTTATGAATTTATTTATTAAAACCCATTACAAATTCCAATATCTTGGATAACTAGACAAACCTCCAAGTCCACAAATAGTCGAATAAGTGAGGTATTACTGTACTTTTATTTCATAGATTTACTTACCTAGTAAAAGGTTGAAATGAATGGAACAGGAATCAAGCAAAGCACGCAAAGTACACACACCAAAAGTTGGAAACCAAATAAGCCAGTTAGTTTCTACCTGTACTGCAACTGCTGTTGAGGATTGAAATGAGTTCCCAGGAATACTTATTATAGAATAACATAAGCATTAGTAAAGTTTGAACAAAATATTCACACAAACACTTTGAACATAAGATTTCTCTAAAGATATACTATAGAGTAGGGTAGTATAAATTGAGTACACAAAATATGTTGTATTCTTAATTGCCTGAATGTTAATTAATTAGCTAAATCATTGGCTTAAAATCTTACTCAAGAAATTTTAATCTTTGCAAATCAGCTGAACCAATTAGAAGTTAGTAATCAGTAGGTATCACAACAACAATAAAATTAAAATTACCCAAACTTAGAATAATTATACTGAGTATATAGGAGTAATTATTATTATTATCCTATAATCTAATATGAGCAATGTTTGCTTGTATGTATGTATGCTTGCTTGCACAAAGATCTCGAAAACGGCTCCGACGATTTTCTTCAAATTTTGTAAATAGTTTATTTCTGGCCTAAAAACGAGTTTACTGAAGTTAGAACTGCCAACAAAAATCTAATTACGTAGAAAAATGGAACTGAAAATCACATTTTTTTAACATTAGTCTTATGGGTTGCTAGGTAACCATGTTGGCTGAATTAAATAACAAGGAAAAAGTAAACAACAGACTTGAAGTTGTAGCATGTGTTCATAATAAGCCTACTACCCACAGTATACAAGCAAATTACAAATACAGTACAAAAGGAAAAACATCAGTTAGTTGTTACTATTAAGCAAAGATTATACTGAAGATTACTCGATACAGTACATTGTTTGTAGTAAAGGCTAGCAGTGCGGAGTGTAGGAAGTCCGCGGCATTTGGATTAATGTATCTAAAATACTAAAATGCTACGGGTATATTTCCCATCCTTATGGAACAGCTGAAGCCAATTTTATTGTTAGTTCTGTCCAGTTTTCTGTAGATGTCGTTTTTTGTTTACAATTTGTTTATATTATTTTAGGGTTAGTTTCTCATTATTTGTGTCTCACCGTTTGGTTATATAGCTAGGGGACGAGTTATTGTTTATGATTAGATAGTTTTATTTGGTTAAACGAGGGTTTAAATTACTGAAGTTAGAACTGCCAACAAAAATCTAATTACGTAGAAAAATGGAACTGAAAATCACATTTTTTTAACATTAGTCTTATGGGTTGCTAGGTAACCATGTTGGCTGAATTAAATAACAAGGAAAAAGTAAACAACAGACTTGAAGTTGTAGCATGTGTTCATAATAAGCCTACTACCCACAGTATACAAGCAAATTACAAATACAGTACAAAAGGAAAAACATCAGTTAGTTGTTACTATTAAGCAAAGATTATACTGAAGATTACTCGATACAGTACATTGTTTGTAGTAAAGGCTAGCAGTGCGGAGTGTAGGAAGTCCGCGGCATTTGGATTAATGTATCTAAAATACTAAAATGCTACGGGTATATTTCCCATCCTTATGGAACAGCTGAAGCCAATTTTATTGTTAGTTCTGTCCAGTTTTCTGTAGATGTCGTTTTTTGTTTACAATTTGTTTATATTATTTTAGGGTTAGTTTCTCATTATTTGTGTCTCACCGTTTGGTTATATAGCTAGGGGACGAGTTATTGTTTATGATTAGATAGTTTTATTTGGTTAAACGAGGGTTTAAATTACTGAAATAACAAGAAACAAATTGTAAACAAAACACGACATCCATGGAAAACCAGACAGAACTAACAATAAAATTGGCTTCAGCTGTTCAATAAGGATGGGAAATCTACTAAGAGACTATGTTTTATCATGTTCTATCTATGCTTAAATGCTAAGAGAAGGGTAAGATATTTATGTAGTATGAAATTATGGAAAAGTGGTATGTCAATTGTATGAGCTTCATGCAAGCGCATACATTGGTAACTATATCTCAACTCTAGAGGTAAAAAGTGTATTACTATATCACTAGCTCGAAAGAAGTCGATTAAATTTTAATCTTATTGTGGCCAACTTGGTTTAAAATCTACCTAGAGTCGACTCAATCCGATTGGATTGTATTATGTCATTATGTAATACGGCAAAACTAATACTGAAATGAAAATGGCAAAACTAATACTGAAATAATGTTGCATTATGCACATGTGGTTTAAAAAGTCACATGTTTGTGATTAACGTATCAACAATAGAGTTTGGTTTGTAAACATATTGCCTCAAAAGATTCGTTACTAGATGGAAATGTACTCAACAAAAAATCTGAAATCATGAAAAGAGGACGACCACCAAATAAAGGTTTGAAGAAGTTGGGGAATTTCTTTAAAAGGCACAAAGCTGATGAAGAACAGGTAAGCTATAAAATATATACCTTTATTAATTTAATTACATACATTAAGTTCGTGTGGTATGTCATTACTAAGTAGCTTACACCACGAATACAGAAATTGGAATAGAGTTGCTTATTTTATATTTCTCTATAGCTCATTGTGTATAAGGTACTTAAAAAGTTAGATGACAATTTTTATGATTGGTAGTTAAAAGTTATTAGGCTTAACTAATTAAAACTGATCCATTACTTGATTATATATGATATCAACGTTCTTCAAAGAACATAACATTCTTTTTTATTTAATTGCAAAGCTAATGGACACCCGGTTAGCCTAAACGTTATAGAGTCCCAACTAGGAGAAAATGTGAGTTTTTTTTTTATTTTGTAAACATCGTTATTAACATTAGTTACATATTTCATTTAGGATTGATTAAAACTATTCTATAACGGTAGGATAACTAAGGAATAAACTTATTTGTTTGAAAACAAAATTTGAGTTCTTAACTTTTGTCCAACTGATTGTCCAACTGGTCAATATGGTTAAATAAATATAATGATATCAGTTTCTCTAATAAATTTAAGTAGTTAGGCAAGCTCATGAGGAATTTAAGGTATGTTTTCAATACTTCAAAACCTGTGTAGATAAGAATGGCTTTGTAGCCTATGAGCTAGCATCCAGCAATTATCATTATTATTATTTGTAAAATCTAATATCATTCAGGAATTTGTTCTATTGAAGTAGCAAGAGTGTTTTAAGTAGAAAGTTTGTGCCTTTTTCACCCAAACAATAGAGAAGCAGGTCGTAAGTTGAATGTGACATGGTGTGGAGACCGTCTTGAGCATTGTCCTACACACAAATATCTTAGTGTCATACTTCGGTCCAAAAAAGCTTCATATCACGGACACGAGTTCTGGATGGATCACTCTCAAGCAATCGGGTGGCAAGGTGGGAGGCCAACCCTCGCATACCAGCCAGGGAGGAACTGGCTATGCCTTCATCACGGTGTGGAAGACTCTAGCTAGATCGAATCAGGGTCGAGGTACAGTACCAAAATGCAAGACAAACATGCAGAAATGGGTCTCTTACATCATCACATGACGAAGAAAACATCTTGTGTGCGTGTGGTGTTGTTCAGGATCCCGGCCATCTACTGATGTCCACGCCTAGACCAGTCTTGCACATTAGATGACCTTTTACAAGCGAATAACAAAGCCATATCGGTAGCTAATTTCTGGAAAAGCAAAGTCTGATTTCCGGACACGGAAAGTAAGTAGCCTAAGTAGCATGAGGAGGAAGAGGGTTAGTTACAATTTTTTAGGACCTTTATAGCTTAAATTTACTTTCATTGATAACACATTTTTTTATATTTTAGGTTGCAAAAGAACTTGAACCTGAACCTGAACCTGAAGGACCTGAGGGGTCTGGTGTATGTGTCTTAGAAGTTCAATCTGAACAAAATGTGAGTTGTTATTATCATCTCAACCGTATTATTAATGTAAAATTATTCAAAACAATTAATTAATTTAGTTTAAAAATATTATTTTGTGATAAATTAATAATACCAATAACCAATAAAGTAAGTAATCAGTCACCAATTTTACGATGATCGAAAAATAGCTTACACTTAGATACTGTACAATGAAAATTACCTTTCCAACAAGCATAAAAGACAAATATTTTAATTTCAGATCCCAAATGGAGTGCGCGTGTTAAATGATCAATCAGATAAAAATGTGAGTATGAGTATGATTAGATAGTTTTATTTGGTTAAACGAGGGTTTAAATTACTGAAATAACAAGAAACAAATTGTAAACAAAACACGACATCCATGGAAAACCAGACAGAACTAACAATAAAATTGGCTTCAGCTGTTCAATAAGGATGGGAATAAGGATGTTCGTAATTTTGCAGTACTATACCTGAACCGCATTGTTACGGTACTAATGAATAATTTAAAAAAATTGAACCGTTCATTTTGTGGTTAATTCATATTTGAAATAACATTTAATGTACTGTAGAAAATTATGAATTTAGTTCAAACAGAAAAATGTAAAAAATATATTCTTAACACGCAAAAGAATCTGTCATCATTGTTTTTATATGTGGTTAAAAATTGCATAACTCGATTTTTTGGACAGTGTAAATGGCTTTTGTACCGGTACCCAAAGACTGCCATAGAAAGATAACGTTTGCCCAAAGTAACCATTAATGGTAGATAGGAGAGAGGATACTCATATATTTTCATGAATTTTTACTGTGTAGTAAACAAATAGACCTCTGTTATTGTTTGTTGAAATTGTTATACATTTATGTTTATTTTCCATGATGATTAGTTATTCTGATTCTGGTATTGGAGTATGCCAAGAGTAAGATATAATGCAACAAGTGTAGACAGGAATTTTATATTCTAAAATTGGCCAGGTGATGCTTAAATTTTTACTCTCAGTAGACTAGGATACAAATTTTGCAGTATTACAAATTAACGTAACCTTAATACAGATTTTTTATTTGTACAGCTGATGACTTCCAATAAACCCATTAGATGTGCGAAGATAAGGGCTCTGGAGATAATTTCAGATGTAAGTGCTCAAATATGTCAGTCTATGGTGGAAGAAAGGGTAAATTATTTTGAGCAAATAAGAATATCAGAAGACAGCCAGGTTCGTGCCATTCGCCTTGAGGAACAGCGACAAAGAGACGCCAACCGCAGGGCTGCCGAGGAGGAGGACAAACGAGCACGACGCCTCGAAGAACAGCGGCAAAGAGATGTCAACCGCAGGGCTGCCGAGGAGGAGGACAAGCAAGCACGACGCCTGAAAGAACTGCGGCAAGCAGCCGCTATCCGTAGAGCCGCCGAGGACGAAGACGAGCGTGTTCGACGTCTGAAAGAACTGCGGCAAGCAGCCGCTATCCGCAGAGCCGCCGAGGACGAAGACGAGCGTGTTCGACGTCTGGAAGAACTGCGGCAAGCAGCCGCTATACGCAGAGCCTCCGAGAACGAAGACGAGCGTGTTCGACGTCTTGAAGAACAGAGGCAAATAGATGCCAACCGCAGGGATGCTGAAGTGGTTGACGAGCGTGCTCAACGCCTTCTAGAACAGCGTCGTCGTACAGCTGAAATTCGACAGAATTCTCAGCGTAGTCGACTTCCAACCTATAAAGCCGCTGCATCAAGTCTCGTAGAGTACAGCAATTTGGGAATGTATGACATTGCATGTGTTCATTGTGGTGCTGTTCATTTTTTGAAAGAGAGAGTGCAGAACAGAATTCACCCTAATTCGTTTGGTGACTGTTGCCTTCATGGTCGCATTGAACAAGCTGCGCCAGAGTTTCCCAATGAATTGGCATTGCTGTACACAAAACAACACAGACTAGCCAAACAGTTTCACGATAAAATTCGAAATATTTCTGCCTGTTTTGCTTTTTCTTCATTCAATGTTGCTGATGACAGGACTTTCAATAGTAAAGGTATTTATACATTTACTGCTGGTGGACAAGTGTATCACAAGTTAAATTTGGCGGCTCAGCCAGTCAGCAACAGTGAGGGTGATTTGGAAAGACCTAGATATGGCCAAATGTACTTCATTGACCCGGAAACAGCCGTTGCAGAACGTATGAATGAACCAATGAATCAAGGCATCAATCAAGAACTAATACAGATTTTAGAGGAGGTCATGAGAAGTCAAAACCCATTTTCACAGGCTTTTATGATGATGAGAGAGATAGTTGAGGAAAACAATCAACGTGCTGCAGCTCTTGGTGTCCAACCACCCCATGTCCACCTCCTGTTTGCTGAACGTGCAGGTAAAATAATACTGTTTTCTCTAATCACAATTATTTTGTATGTTATTTGTAGTTGCTACAAAAATATAAAATCAGAAATACAAAATAAACAGTAACTAAACATAAAAACTTATGCAAACTTATCAAGTAAGATGTCTCGTGTTACTCCTCCATAAATGTGATGACTCTGAAGGGAAATTTAATTAAAGGGCGCCACAACTAACGTTTTGTTGCAATCTCAGTACTAAACTCTGAAAAATTCCACATAAGCATAAGCAAACAAGCCGTAGCCATTTTTATTTCCTTTCTCTTCTCTTCTCCGTAGCTATTCTATATTACATGTAAGAATGACTACAACAGACTGTTAAAATAATAAAAACAAAACTTGGTAATCTCTGCTCTTTCAGATGGCACCAGTTTAATTTGTCTACGATCATTAATAAAGTAGCTTTGAACAATTAAGAGTGCGGCATTAATTTTGGGACATAATAAACTTTGTTATTAAGCGTAACGCAATTTATAAACTTGACATTTTTCTGAATGAGGTTTTTATAATCAATAATTTCATCAAAACAACTTTATTGAAAAGAGGATTTTAGTACATTTGTATTTTTGAAGAGTCGTCAAATACTATTATTCATTTACTGGATTAAATGAACACTCTACAATTAATTCAGTCTTTTTTTATTTTTATAAATGAATAATCTTTAAACTTTAGCAAGACTATACGGGTATGTTTCAAAAGTAAAGTTATGTATGAGAAAAATATGGAATGTACCTACATTTTGTGTCATTTTTCTCTTAGAACTAAATAATGATTAAAGTTAAGATTTTTTGTTTTTCATATCATTAATTTATGATGTTTACTTTTAGGTGATGATCCCAGGCGATTCAACTCACCAACTTATAATGAAGTTGCTGCTGTAATTACATTAAATGCAGACCAAAGCATCCCGGAAAATGAGATGGTTATTAAGGAGCGAGGAAAACAGTTAATAACGCTCAAGAACATTGACAGCCGAGTAGAACCATTCACCTACCCTCTCCTCTACCCAAAAGGAACTTTTGGGTTTACTGTAGGGCTTCCTCTTAAAACGCCTTATGCAAGCCGTGCACACATGACGAGGATGGAGTTGGCTCAATACAGGTTAGCCTTTCGTCCAGAACAAGCCAAGGCTCTTCCTCCTGAACCATTGCTAGAGGGATTAGATCTAAGGTCGATTGGATTTAATGCTCTCCACTTTGGTGGTAGACTGTTTCAACAGTACGTCGTGGACACATACATCCGTGTTGAACGTGATCGTATTCAGTGGATCAAATATAACCAAAAGAAACTTCAAGCTGATCAGTATGCAGGAGTAACACATTTTCTAAATGAATTGGCTGAAAAGAAAAATGCTACAGTTGCTGAAAAACTGATTTTACCATCATCTTTTCCCGGATCAACGAGATATTTCACTGAACACTTTGAAGACGCTATGGCAATTGTCCGAAGGTTTGGCTCTCCAGACTTTTTTATCACAATAACGTGCAGTCCAACATGGCCAGAATTAAAAGAAGCTGCATGTATTGAGCTCTCTGATGGTTCTAAACTACAACAGTTTGCCCAAGAAAGACCTGACATTGTGGCTAGGGTAGCCAAATTGAAATTTGACAGCATAGTTGAAGATATCAGTAAGAAACAGATTTTTGGGAAGTCTTCTGCTTTTGTTTACACTATAGAATTCCAAAAACGAGGATTACCCCACCTACATCTTCTTGTCATCATGGCAAATGAAGACAAACTCCGGTCTCCAGAGGAAGTAGACACTTTCATTTCGGCAGAAATTCCTAATGATGACCCAGTTCTAAGGGAGTTGGTCCTCAAATGGATGATTCACAATCCATGTGGCGAAGTTAATCCGTCTGCATCATGTATGGAGAATAAGGGTGGATCAGCTAAATGCCGCTTTGGATTCCCCAAAGCTCATCAAGAGTTTACGTCAATTGTTGACAACAAAAAACCGAATTATAAGAGACAGTATGACCCACAACTGGATCCAAATAACCCAGAATTTTCTCACGTCCATGCGGTGTACCGCAAAAACAGTGATGGACAAAAAGTTACACGGGACAATAGACATGTTGCTCCATACAATGGCTATTTACTGAAGAAATACATGTGTCACATAAATATCGAGTATGTTGGTAGTGTTAGAGCCGTTAAGTACCTCTATAAATACATTTATAAAGGACATGACTGCGCAAATGTAAAAATTGTTGAAAATGTGGCCCGAATAATGTATAATGAAGCAGAAACATTTGTTGAGGCACGTTATATTTCGCCCCCTGAAGCATGTTGGAGGCTGGCTGGAAATGAAATCCAAAGGAAAAGCCATTCGGTGCAACGTTTGGACATCCATCTAGAAGGTCAGTACCGTGTGGGAAACATGGAACAGACACAAGAAGATGTAGCGGACACTGGCCTGAAAGGGTCCACCTTAGAGGCGTACTTTAAACACAACTCTAAACTTCACATAGAAGAAGAGAATGGGAATGAAGTAATCTACTACTTCTACTGGCAGATGCCAGAAAAGTACAAATGGTTAGGCAAAACAAGTGAATGGGTGGTACGACAGCGAAGCTCAAAAACTATTGGAAGGATCCACACCGTGAACTTGGTGGCCCAACCTGAACTTTATCACTTGAGAATGCTCCTCTTTCATACCAAAGATGCCAAAAGTTTTGAAGACCTTAAATTTGTAAATGGGACTGCCTATTCCACTTATAAACAAGCATGCCTGGCAAAAGGCCTTACATATGATGACCAGCAATGGATTGATGGGCTGCGGGAATCCGCTTTGTCAAAGATGCCGAGTGTCATGAGGACACTCTTTTGTCAAATCTTGATTCTCGGATCACCAGAAAACCCTAAACGTCTCTGGGATATGTTTAAGGACGAGTTGGCAGAAGATTTTCTTAGAGAAGCAGAGATTTCTGGAACCCCTCTAGAAGATGCTTACAACAGAGCATATAGAATCATAGCTTACAAGCTAAATACTGAAGCTACAGAAGGTAATAATCAACTTATAAATATTACTTATTACAAAACTTAAATTAAGTTTATTTTGGGTGTATACCCCTTCAAAATTTGTAATATATTTATTTATATTTTATTTTAAATGATAATATCTTTCTCTTAAACTGACAGCGAGTAGGTTAGCCATGCCAATGGTCGATGAATGTTGTCTATTGGTCTACCAAAGTTAAATATCAATCTTTAGTGAATTCCTTCAACATATCATACATAATACCATATCAATATTCAATTATTTTAATGTCTTTAAAAGTAATTTCAAAATAATTAACAAAGATGGTCTAATACAGTCCTTACTATTATTTATTAATCACAAATTTATAAAAAACAGATGATTTCAGAATCAAACCTTTGCAGATATTTTTATAACAGTCTTTAAAAACTAACCTAAAATATGTTAATTTAATATAAAAAAAGGGTTGGAAATTAGTGTGTGTTTTAAATAAGAGAGCACAAACCCCATTTAATCATATTATTCACTCATGAATAATACATTCATGACACACATTATTCTAACCATTGTTGTAAACAGTACTTTAATTTGGGAGATATCGACCTTGAAACATACATAATTGCGGATCTTCCAGCAAAATAAATCGTCTTAATAACAAACATTTTGAGCCTTTGGGTGGTGATTGATCACCTATAATTACTCCCAATTATTTACCCAAATTCTTTCAGCTTTATTAACTTATCGTTATTTGTGATGTGTTCCAAAAACTTTAATGACACTTTTTAGAAATTTTTAACACTTAAACGTGCTTATTTTAGGACGCAACTTCCGTTTTTGGGTAGAGAACTATGGAATGGATGATATTAACGACTTCGAGATGAATGAGGAGGTTTTTAACGTAGGGCAATCTCATGAAATTGGCCATCGCCTCTACAACAACCTCAATGATAAACAGAAGGAATTTGTTGATGCTGTCATCCAAACACTTGATGATGAGAGTTCAGGTACAGTACACTGTTAATAAACTGAGAAATTCAGGTGCGAGAATACCTAGGATACCACTAATAGCATTGAACATATGTTTTAGCAATTCCATTTAACCAATGTTAAATAATGTTTATTTTCGGGCCAAAAACGTCATTTGTTGATGTTTATGATCCATACCGGGTATTTTTCTAGTAATCGTGTAGGATACCAATAACCTTGAATAATAGGGAGGTTACTTCAATATTTAGAACAGTATGTTTTGAAACTATTTAAATAATGGTCAAGCCTTTTTTTATTTACAAGTAAATGACATAGTTAGTTATCAAAATACAGTTTCAGTTTTGAAATAAAACATATGGTTAACACATATTATTTGTTGCAAAAAAAAGAACAAAAAAAAACAGAATCCTACTGCATCAGCTTTTAGAAACCCGCAGACTTGGATAATATAAGCTAGGATAATAATGAAGTTAACTGTAAATTGTACATTTTTGTTTTTAATCAATGTCATCTGATTTAATTCATTTTTTAGCTTAAATTTTGTATACTATCTTTCTTTATACTATTCAAACAATGTCACCAGTTTTAAAATCCTGACAGTAACAAAACATAATGTTGTGATAGTACACATGAATTGATTTGTTTTCAGGACCAAAATGTTTCTTCCTTGATGGACCTGGAGGTACAGGGAAAACATTTGTCTACAATACATTGTACCACCTCTGCCGAAGTCGAAACATCATTGTTAAATGCATGGCATTTACAGGCATTGCATCCATACTTCTGCCAGAAGGACGCACAACCCACAAGACATTTGGTCTTAAAGTTCCTTTGACTAATGATTCAAAATCATCAATCAAACGTGGATCTTCAAAATTCAAGGAATTGGAAGCAGTCAACATGTTCATGATGGATGAAGCACCAATGCTTCCTAAATACGGTCTTGACTGCATGGACGAGCTCCTTCGTGATCTAAGTGACAGGAACTCCCCATTTGGCGGGAAAATAATGATTTTAGGAGGAGATTTTCGACAGTGTCTACCGGTCCAGCCAAGGGCAAATCGTACCGAACTTCTAGACCTTTCCATCAAGAAAAGTGTTCTCTGGAGGTACTTCAGGGTTTTCTCTCTGGAACAAAATATGAGAGTTGATGCGGAAGAGGAGTGCTTTGCTAGGTACCTACTGAAACTTGGAAATGGAGAGCTTGATACCAACGCTGATAGTGAAATTGAACTCCCTAATGACATCATCACTAATACTAATGACATTGTTAACGAGATCTATGGAGAATGTCTCTCCGACGGAAACTTTGAGGACATGAAGGATCGAGCAATTCTTGCACCCCTAAACAAGGACGTCGACACAATTAACAACACCGTTATCAATTTAATTCCTGGAACCGAGACCATTTATAAAAGTTACGATTCAATTAAAGATGAACCAGAAGGTGCCTTAAAGTTCCCCCCAGAATTCCTAAACTCTATCGAGATTTCAGACCTACCACCACACCAGCTCAGACTAAAAAGTAATACCATTATCATGCTCCTTCGTAACCTTGACGTCTCAGAGGGTCTGTGCAATGGCACTAGACTCATAGTTACAGCACTCTGTCCTAACATAATAAAAGCCAAGATCATCACTGGTGAACACTCTGGCCGAGACGTGCACATACCGAGAATCACCCTTGATTCATGCAAGTCTCAGCTAGGGTGTTCACTACAAAGACACCAATTCCCTATTCGGCCAGCCTTTGCGATGACAATACATAAATCGCAAGGGCAAACATTTAAATATGTCGGCGTCATGCTACAAACGCCTGTATTCATGCATGGCATGCTATACGTTGCATTTTCAAGGGTAAAGCGTAGAAGTGCATTGAAAGTGGTGGTACCGCCAGAAACAGGTGGTCGCACACGCAACGTAGTGTGGACCGAAGTTTTTAATTGATGTGGTTCGTGCATTTGAGAAAAGACTTTTGTTATATTATGAAATTCTATTTTTCTTGCACTATTTTTTATTTGTTTTGTTGAAAACATTTTCTTTGATAGTTAGTTTTATTGAAGGTATGCATTGTACTGTATCAGATGCAGCAAAGTTCTTTACTTGCTCTGCTCTTTAGGGATACTTTAAATGTATTGAAATATTTTGGAATATTTCATTTTTATATAATAATCTTATATTCTTATGTGAGCAATGTTTGCTTGCAGATCAAAAACAGCAAGGTCAAAGGTCGGGGTACCGCAGGGTCCGGTTATGGGCCACATTTGTTTTTAATTTTAATTAATGACATTAGTTTCAATTTAGATTGTAAGTCAACAATTTATGCTGATGACACCTCTTTACTTGTTAGCCATAGAGATTTAGATTGTATGGAAAATGTTGCCAATTCTGTTTTTAAAGATGCTGAAGAATGGTTTACAGTAAATGGATTGTTTTTAAATTCTAAAAAACACAGAGAATATTGGTGACCTTGAAAAAGAATCATGAAAACCATCAATTTGTTCACGATAATGAAAATTTTGTAACATTACTTGGTATAAAAGTAGACTGTAAGCGGTCATAGTCTGACCATATTAATTTTGTAAATAATAAATTGCCCAGAGTTGTACATTTGTTAATAAATCTAAAAAGACATGTTTCCAGTAAATACTTGAAAATGGCATATTTTGCTTTTTATGAAAGTGTTATCTGGTGGATAATCTGAAGTAACGGAGTTGGAATTAAAAAAAATTTAATCAAACAAAAAAAAAACTGTTACAGTTTTGCCGGACTCAGAAAGGTTAGCCCGCTCCAGGCCACTTTTTGTCTCATCGGGGACCCTGACTATTGTACACTTGTATATTTTAGAGGTATTGATGTTTGTCAAAATTAATTTAAATATGTTTTCTGTCAGAGAAAAAATACATGATCATGTAATCAGATTTAGGAATAAATTAGATCAACAAAGGTTTAGGTTAAGTAAATCAATGAATTATCATGTTAATTTAGGTGTAACATTTTTCAACAAGTTACCATTGACTTTTCAGAGTTTGCTTAAAAAAGCATTAAATAGATTGTATAATTGGTTACAATTGAACCCATTTTATACATTGGATGAATTTTTTAATATTAAAATAGAGTCTTCAAGCCTAGCCCAATTTTAGATTTTAAACATTACATGGTTTTTTGTGATGTTAGCTCAATTTAATGTTGCTTGTTTATCAATGTGAATCATATACAACTGTTTATTGAAAAAATTTGTATATTTTGTTGAATGTCTAATAAATGTCTTATTATTTGTCTTATTTGCTTGTATGTATAATTTCGCAAAGTACTTGAAAACGGCTTTGACAACAGCCTTTAAATGTTGGAAATAATTTATTTCTAGCCTAAAAACGTAATTGACGACCACCAACATCTAAGGCAAATTCGCATTTCACTATACAACTCAATATAACAATATACAAATTTAACATTTGCCACATGGGCTGCTAAGTAGTTATGTTGGTTGAACAAAATAATAAGTAAAAAGAAAAACAAAAGACTTGTAACATATTGTGTTTATAATAAGCCAACCACAGTATACTACAATTTACAGTACAAAGGGGGAAACATCATGTTACTATTGAGCAAAGATTACACTAATTTATCTATATAGGGGATATTTTCCCTTATATATTGATTAATTTTCAGTATAATCTTTGCTCAATAGTAATAATTGAAGTTCCTCTATATGAGGTTTTTGCCATTGACTGTAAAATAAAATAATTTGTTGTGGATTGTCAGGTTAAATTTTCCATCATAATAAATGGAAATTCCACTTGAAGTCCGAAATTAGTTGTAAATAAGACTTGATATTGTGAAATCCGTGGATAAGTTAAAGTCGTATTGTGGTTAACCTGATAATAATAAAACACAGCTGGCCTAAAGATATTGCTTTAGCAACACTTAAGTTGCCTTTATATTGCTTTTACAATCGAAATCAACTATACCGGTCCCCCGGTACTTATATTACTATCACAGAATGATAACATATGAACAATTCAATATGATAACATTCAATGATAACATATGATAACATTCAATCATGTAAACATGTAAACAAAAACTTGTTCTGATGGAAAGATGGATCCCTGAGAATCTCGCAAAACAAACTCAAATTATCTAAATATATTATTAATACGCAAGCAGTTTTCTTTTCACAGTCAAAACTCAATAACGGCTTGATGGATTTTAAAGTTTGAGGTGTTAAATCAAAGGTATTTTCAAGTAGATGTGCAAATACGTCTCAGAGTATTAAGAAATAGTTTTTAATGTTAACCACAGACTGCAGGACTTAATTTTGTGTCAATCTGTTGACTAAGTCTGGTTCATAATGAAGAGTTTCCTATCAATACTAGACAACAAAGAGTTTAAGAATAAATATTTAATAAATAATTAATTCTTTTTTTCTATTGTTAAATTGATTTACCTTACATCGTATTTTACTGGTTATCATGTGGTTACAGTTTGATGTGATGAAATGAATGTTTAAAAGTGATTATTCACAGAGCAGTTATCCATTACATTACCATATTATCATGTAATTTACAATGTGTATCAAAATTCCAATTCCTTTATAGTGTTTTCTGTTGTTTGGTTAACTTTCTTATTTCATTTCAATTTAAAATTAAATGCCGCCAGTACGACGAAGAACTGTGAGTGGCTGGAGGGAAAAAGAACATGCAACGGGTTATCTAGTATATTATTACTATACATGTTCTATTATCCTACAAATATGAGGTACTGTACAATGGACACAATTTCTAACTTCAAAATTCAGTAAACTAGTGTAAATATACCACGAAGACAATGAATGGGTCTCAATGAATAGGATTGTAAAATATAGCTTTGAAAAGCCTCTATCATCAGTATTTTATTTTAACCGTTCGCAGACCATGGGTCTTGTGGCTTAAAATGGGTTAATCAAAGTAAAAAAATAACAAATGCCTTATTCTTAGGCTGGTATTTTTTACTATAAAAAATGGTGGAGGTATTTGTTACCCATCCATGAATATCAAGGAATATACAACCAGTCTTTAAAATAAATACAAATACAACAAAAAGTCATACAACACCGACCAGATTGTCTTCATATTTGACTGAAATATTTCTAAAACCATTATGGGAATATCCGTTGCCACCTTTGGTTAGAGAAATATCGGTAAGTGCCCCTCCTCCCCCCCGGAATCATATCATAGGTATAAACACGGGGCATTAGGAACCGAAGTCAGGACTGTTCCGACAGAATCGGGATGGTTGGCAACCCTGCCATCACCCATAAGGGAAGGGTTAGGGTTTCAAATTACAGCAATAATTGTTTGAAACAAGAATTGTGATGTCAAAAAATTGGATAAAATGGAAAAAATCCTTGAACTAGAAAAATACAGGGTTTATAAGAAAATAAGACTTTTTATATCAAATTTATTTTCAACCAGATCAAGTATAAAAAAGCGCACAGCCAAGGTTGTGTTATAGAAATACATCAAATCAATCTTAAACAATTCTAAGGCACAAAATTCTATAGAGAAAATAGAAAACTAAATACATAGGCTGTATTTAACACCCGAAGATATTTAATCCAGACACCAACCTCATCTGAAATATTATAATAGTTGCAAAAGAAATTTTGTATTTGTTATTTTTCCTGTGAAAAGAGCTAGATTATGAGATTCTAAAAATACTGTCTTATAGGATTTTAAATATGTTTATCATCATACAAATGAATGATATTACTGAATGGAAAACTCTGAATTTTTATCGTGGAGTTAGTATTTTTTTTTATTTTGTGATTTGGAATTAGGAAAGATTGTGATGTGGATACTAAGCATAATTTTTGGATGAGCACAGAAATAAAAACAGATAAACAAACTATAAATTGGCAAACTCAGTATTATAGTTTTTTTTTCATAAAATCTAGAGGATCATGTATTCATATACAAAATAGTTAGGGCCTAAAGAAAGTTAAGAAGCCAGGGTCTAATAGATACATGGTAAAATGTAAGACTAAAACAAAATATGTTAATTTAGGAAATGTTAAAACACAGAAGACACATTCAGTATGAAACAGAGGATACATTCAATGGTACACTTAAGTCGTGTCCAGCACCGGTTGCTGTCTAGAGCAAATTCTATTCACTGTCCCCTTCCGCCCTCCTTTCCCCCTCGCCATCACATACTACAGCGCTGATGCTGTAAGAAGACCCTGTGCGCTACAACTGCTGTACAAAAATAAAAATGCTATGTGACCGTCGCCGTTCGGGCTCTTTCTTGCTCGGTAAACTAGTACATTTCTGCCCCAACATACCAGAGCTAAAAGCGCACATTAGTCCCATACGCTTGTATCCTCTGTCTTACTCTTCTGTGGTTTCGCCAGAATTATGTCCTAATTAATATTTGTTGTTGAGCTGTGATGGGACTACTTAAATAATTTAGTCTTACATTATGCCCAACAGCTACGGGGCCTTGAAGAAGTAAGGAAATATCAGAGTTATTTTTTGTGACTTAATCATGTATCTATCAGCCACTGGACTGTGTTTTCTCAGATATTTAGATGAACCGTAATTTCCTTTTTGTTTTGAAAAAAATTCCTTCATTTTAAGACTCTTGTATGTTTTAGTGACAAAATAATATTTGACACTATAACCATATCTGTTCCAAACTACTAACTGAATTTTTGTGACAAATAGTGTAATAGAATGTACAAATGAAAACATAATAAAAATTAAAGGAAAAGACAAACAAAACAAAATATACAAGGGCCTTGGAAATAATATACAAGTATGAAAGTAGCATTCTAATGTCAGCATTTGTTATGATAGGGAATTAAACCATCACTAGGACAAGGTCATTCTGATATAGGACATTAAGTGCATTGTGATTATGAAATTTTGCCTACATCCTATACAGCACCCAGAGTATGAAGAGGTAACTTTCAACGAGCCCTTGTAATAACAAACATAACAAAAAAATTCTAAGGTAATTACAATACGATACATACTTAATATTAGAAGGAATTAACAACAAAAGCCACTAACAAATACATTCAAATGTTACCTTTGGTAAAATCAGCGAGTTACGTGAATAGATTATGGTCAGTTGCTAATGGGTTCTGTATGGATTTTATTGATTTTTGCATCCATAAATAAAATGAAATGTGACAAATACTTAAGAAGACTTATGTAATTCACTGTAAAAATAGAAAATGGATCTAAAACAGGTTTGACCCTGCTTGTATTTTATTGTAATCTAATAAATATGTTCCTAACATTATAAATGTTAAAGGCTTAGGATATTAGCAGTTTTTACAACATTCTATGACCACTGTGGTTGTACGACTTTAACGTTGGTTTATAAATGGAATACATATTAGAGAGCATTTTCTCAATGTAATGGAGCAAATGTGTTACTACGGGAGTAAGACGATGGACTATCACCAATAGAAGAACTAAAAGTATTAATGCTAGAATTAAAAGAAGAAACTAGAAAAAATGGGTTAAAGATTAATGAGGAAAAAACAAAGTAACTCGTATTATCAAGTAAAGAAGAAATTCTGGATAGCAATCTGCAATTTGGTGAGGTAAAATTATCTAGAGATCAAGAATTTTAACTTAGGTAGGGGTAAAGTTTTCTCAAGATAACAAAGAAGAAGTAGAAAGCAGACTGGTAGCAGTGAGGAAAAATTTCTTCTTTGTATCAAAATTAAAGAAGTATTTGAGGGGGCCGTATTTCAGGCCCAATTTTTTCTTGATACGCATTTATTTTCCCGATAATCTGTTCCTGTTAATTTGTTTGTGACCGTGGTAGACTTTGATGATATCTGCGTGACCACAAATAATCTTCACTATTTCACTGTTAATAGAGGAGTTGTGCAATTCATCCGCAATATGTCCAGGATTTTATCGTGACAGCGATCGAGTCAAAGATCATGTCCCAGCAAAATTAAGAATATACGATTTTGTCATAAGCGAAGGAGACAATGTTGGTAATTAAAACACTGTTGTAGGTATGGTAGTGTATGCAACTAGCGTATTCCGCGGCCATAGGTGTCGTTTATGATTTTGCCACGATTGGAGGAGACAAATACGATATTTCCGCACCTGCACAGTATGTTAAATATTTCTTCGCGGCCATAGGAGACGTCCATGAATTCATTGTGATTGGAGGGGTCGAAAAAATGATGTCACTGCGATTGTGCATAATGTTCACTATTTTGCCGTGAACGTAGATGTTCAATAACCCTCCAAAACCGCGGCAGATGTCCACGATTTTACTGTGAACGCAGAAAACGCTTACAATTTGGCCGTGAGTATAGATTTTGTATAAACTGATTGGAAAAGGTCAATTCATTGAGTTAAAGCAATTCCACTGGGTTTTCTAAACCCTTAAGTTCCAAATGAGAATATAGAGGGGACCACTTTTGATTCTAAATACAGCCCTGGGGAGACCTGCAGGCACCAGACCACTACGAAGGCCAAGACTTTGATGGAAGGGAGACTGGTGGTACATCGTTGCGGAGGCTAAAAACCTACTTGTTTGAATGGCCACAGTGGTAATGTAAGGTAAAGGAGCAAACATTATTTCTAGTCAATTGACCACTATTTGAACTTGAATAACTTAGTTTATTTCGTACCTTGGGCCGAAAATGAGGTTTTGCTGGCTCGAGATAGTTTTTAAGTTTGAGACAAAGTCGAGAACTTAAAACGATCGAGAGCTGCAAAACCATTTCGGTCCGTGGTACAAAGGCTATTTTTCACCACACTATACCCTATTATTACCACCATTCACTTCACTACAATAATAATGCACACTTATAGTCAACATAACTACAACTTTAAGGTTATGTGAAGATATAATTTGAGGAATCAGCAAAAATAATAATAAATAGTTGCTAGGCAGCTGTGACAATAAAACAATTCTATTGCAATGTGCATTCATGTTTTAAGAAATCGGGCAGGTGATTTTGCGGCCCTAGGGATGTAAAAACCTGATCGGTCCCCAAATGATGATGACAGCTGGCATGGCCAGCAAAAGGTAACATTCAGCCACCAATTAACGTATGTAAAAATAGCTAAAAACATAATAGTGTGGTGAAAAACATTTAACACAATCTTACAGCTTATAAATTCGCTCAATAATTCTGAGTAAACAGTCAAACAATACAATTTAAAAAGTTGAATCTTGAAATTATTGTATTAATACTAGATAAAACAGTAATAGATATTACCTAGAAGTTTCACACTTAATCAAATAAAGAGTTACCAAAATAATAGGTACAAATTTGATGACCTAAAAACTTATTAGAAGATATTTTAACGAGCTTAATACTATACACCAGTTTTGAATCCTTAAAAATGAATGTATAGAATGAGAGTAAGATGAATAGTCACAGGTGTAGGAAGTAACTAATGTTTGTGATATGCATGTGAATCCTCGTCAGTTTTGATGATTTGTCTGGTGGTTCTTGATCTGACCTTCTGCCACACTCTGACAAAGAAAAGCAAACAAATTGAAGCATCACCAGCACACACAAAACACATCAAAACATGCTTACAATGCATTCCGTCTAACAACCTGAACATTGGTTTAACGACAAAATAAATAATAGCTTTGGGTAATTAAACTGTGTTTACACAAAGCCAGTAGGGCAGGCAGGTTACTTGCCTCTAATGTACGTATTTCAAGTTACCTGAGGAGGCAAGTGACCTGCTCGCCAACCGGCCCCATGTAAACTAGTCTTAGAACTCCATATTCTATGAATTGATCAGGTAGGCACAACCATATTTTATTCAATGAATGCAATTAAAATCAAATTTCTTTTTAACCCTCCAAGTGTCCATAGTTTAGGCCTTAATGTCCACCTATTTTTGGCGCATTTGCAAGGTTTTATTAAAACGGATCTGAGAAGCTTAAAACAATGTTAATTCTAATGTTCTATATACCATTTTGTTTGGAAAATCATGGGCTTCAATATTATATATAAAACATAAGGAACATTTTTTCAAAAAAAAAATTTTTTAGGTAAAAAAAAATATAATTTCGAAAATTTTCAAAAAAAAAATAAGTTCGCGCCTAATGAAATTGTATAAATTATAGGCCTATAAATATTTGAAAATAGCCACTTTGTTCTAAATTTTATGAGGATTACAAATATATAATAATATAAGGAAGTATATTTGCAAATAAATAAGTTATGGGCAAAAAACTGATTTCAGTACATAGCGTTTAGCTAAGAATGCATAGCCTAACCATAGCTAGGAATCTGGCTGATAATTTACATCAATATCACTACCTACTTCTTCAGGATCATCAACCAGCACTTCAAAACCACTTAAATCTTCTTATAATGCACCACGTATATCACTACTTTTGATTTTTAACACTAAAACAATGATAAACGTAATAAAACACATCAGTCATCGGTCCGGGGGAACCTAGCTGTTTACAAATACACGCACGTCAGCTGTCTGCTACAATATTTTCAGAACTAAAATGAATAGCGCTTAGAGACAGACATCTGGAGACAGCTTAGAATGTAACGGAAAGAACGATACCTAACTCGATCCAGTTCAATCCGATTCAGTCAGTTATAGAGCCTTCGCCGTAAACGATGTCTGCTTGTCGAAAAATCGGCAAGTAACACTATACAAAGTGTGGTGCTTGCCGAATTTTCGTCAAGTAACACTGGGAGGGTTAAACTAGTTTTTGTTAGACGCACAATCAAGAGAAGAAATAATTAGAATTCCTAATCAGTGATATTTCTCTTAAGCTACTTTGAATGAAGCCGGTTTAGGTAACCTGCCTGGTTTGCCTGCTTAGTGCCTACTTGCCTTGTGTAAACACGGCTATAATCTTGTTGACTACAATTCAAGGATTTGATCCGATCGTCGGCGATTTTGCCGCTTTGCGAGTGACAATGACGCTGCTATTGCGAGAGATGTTCATGATAGTTCCGCGAACGCAGGAGGCGAAGTCATTTCAACGATCGTGATGTGACCGCGAGTCATACCGACGATCACGTCGTGACCATGAGTCATGAAGACCATCTCGCCGTGACTGCGAGTCATTTCGACTGTGAGTCACAAGTTTCTATACCGTACCTGTAAATTTGTACCCATTTTTTTTGTTTTTATAGATCAGTGCCACAAATGGTAAAAATGATATTGTTTGTCTTTATTGGTAACTGCAATACTCAAGACTTTCTTTTTATACACAGGAAAAAATCCCGTCCCAAACTAAACATTCAATCCCGTCCATCCCTAAAAAAAAAACACTGGAGGGAAGCCTTTTGCAGGACAGTAACTTGTAGTTTTTTTTTTTTTTTTTTTTACATGCACCCACACCTTGATGTTGTCCAGACAAAACCACGATACCAACAGAAATGGTAAGAGTGTCTAGAAGACGATGATTATATTTCTGTGCTTTTTGACCCATTGTCCAATGTTTTAACACTAGATAGGGTATTGCTCGTAAATTTGACATATATGTTGAGTTATCTTTAGTGTTCCACTCCCCACCCCAACCACCAACGCACCCTCCTTCCAGCAGTGCTCTCAGCAGTCAGTTGACATGTGACAGCTGACAGCTGCCTTGGTTGTGTTGTAGTGGTAATGGGTTTCTTTGTGTCACTGCTAGTCGGTTTCTCTGAATGCATATGTCTGACTTGCGTGTCAATACTCTTTGTGTAAAATAAAATAGAATGGCTGGCAGTATGTCAAATTTTCATATTGATACCCATAGCTTCACACTGCATGACAATACCTTACTGTATGACAATTCCTATAAAGATTTCAGTACGTCAAATTTACATATTGATACCCTTGGCGTCATACTGTACGGCAATACCTTTCTAGGGTTAAGTACGAGATGTTTGAAGTAAATGTGTGATTATAAATCTTTCACGTAAAAATATTCCCACGAATCTGTTCCTTTATTGTTCCTTTTGTAATTGGTTCCTTTATTGGATCCTATAAGAAACTGTTGTACGCTGCTCCCCTCCACTAGTTTTGGAAGCAGCCGTTGCAGTGTTGGCTGTGTCAGGGCTACCAACTTTAGCATTTCTCTCAATACTATGGTGGTGTAAATATTTGTGTTGAGAGTAAGAAATAGCAGAACTTTTGGATCAAGGTACTGTGGCGTGTGAAATATTGAAGCTAAAGATGCAAAGATGTCGTAAAAGTCACTTGTCTGTTCATCCAATAAACCAAGCAAGATCTAACAATATTTAACAATGCAGTCAGAAAACCGTTTCACCTTTTCCACAAAGATAATGGCATGTCCAACAACTATTTTCTTGTGCTGTTAACATAGTTTGATTAACTTTCTTGTACAATTGGGGATTAAACACTTGATGATCCTGTAACACTCTCAGGATTTGCCTTCTCTACTGATGAGGCAGCAGTCCACTGTGGTGAATAGAAGCTCTCATATATAGAAGTGGACTAGAATAAAAGCTCCATATAATGCAAAACACATTAGAGTCGCTAGTTTCCGCACTTTATGGTTGAGCCACCATGCATCTAGGCAGCAACAAGCGTATTGCCACAGAGTATAAAAGGAACCTTTTACTATGTTTGTAAACATACTTATCCTTGAGGCAAAGAACAATGTTACCGGTATAATATATGTCATTGATTGATATACTAGTATTTTTAAGAGAAAACTAATTTAATGACAGGGTAAACCATGTTTATATATTTTTTTTTGTTTTGGACTACCGGTACTTTAATGTATCAATCACTAGTTTTAGCAATTTAGATCAAAAATTTTATGTTGACACTATTGCATGTACACTGCCCATTTTGTGATTTAAAGATAACATGACATGATGATGCTGATGATATTTTTGTCAACGTAGGTTAAATCTGCAGTCTGTTTACCTACTACGTCTAATTTAATGACCCAAACTACAAGCAATTAATCTCTCCTCTTTTAATAGTATTTATTTAAAGAAAAATAGATACAACATTCTCAGGGAAACTACCACATGGCCTTACCAGTAAATAAAAACTTTAAATTTTAACATTTCTGCATCCATACTGAAAACGATTGTTACATGACACGCCTATTGTTAATCTTAAACATGGTAATGAAACAAAAACAAAATAAATCATAGGAGGGAAACAGTTAAAAATCAATCACAACCATACAAGAAAAGTCAACACATCAATGCAGGGTTATTTGGTTACGTTAGTTGGGAAATGAGTAAGGATCAACATAGGTCCAGCCCTCGGAGAAGATGTAGGGAGGGTAGGGTGGAAGAGCGTACGGGTTGTGTACCTTCTTGACGATGGCAGGAAATCTCTCACTAATGGAGGGCCATTGTAGAGGGGTCGCGTGAGAGTGCTGCGACAGGGAGCAAGACAGAAGAAACTCTCGGCTGTACTTACGAGTGTGAGCACCTGGAACATCACAGAGTGAGAATATGTTTTATTTTTTTAGAAGTGTTTCTAAATCATCATTGTAAAGTAACTGAAATTATTAGGGTTTCCCTTTGTCAATCACCTCAAAAGTTGTAACTGTTACAGCCATTTCGGCAACACAATGCCATCATCAGACTGTGGATCTCAGATTAAGCTACTTCAGCCGAGATCTACATGTCTGCTCTTGGCATTGTGTTACCAAAATGGCTGTAACAATTACACCATTTTTAGCTGATTGACGAAAATAAAGCCTACTTTATAGTTGCTATTTGAGACCGAACAGTTGTAAATGTTTTATGCAAATGATGATAAAAGGTAAATGTTTCTGAATGTTCACTTGCTGAAGCAATTATATACTTAACACAAGAGTGACTTAACTGTTCAGCATATAACTTCTATAACATTGTATAGGCCGGTTTTTCTAGCTGCCACACACATCTGCCAAATACGGCTGTGTTTTTCTGCACCAACAAAATCCAGTTACAGGCATTTTTCTAGCGGCAAGGTTAACTCAGAGCAAAAGTGACTTGAAGACATTCAATCCCACACCCGTATTTGGCACCAGGGAAACCCCCCTTTAGACTTGGATTTACTGTCCAGGCCATGCTTTTGATTTCATTTTGCCGGAAGTTCATTATCTTTAATACAAAATTAGTATGTCACTGGTACAACGAAGCAGTTTCTACTAAGATACTTACTGTCCAACGACAACGGAGAGAGAGGAGTAGTGTCAATGGGTTCTGATACTGATGGAGAATACAGCGGCGCATACCCCAGTCCAGCGTCTGCAAGTTAAGAGGGTGAATCAAGTTTAATTTATAATTTTAGAAAGTATAGTTTTAAAATTGAATAATTTCTCGCTCTTAATTTATGTATGTAGGTTTGCTGCTATTAGTTATAATAAAGTTATAAAATAAAGAAGATAAAGTATAGCAACAAATACTTGATACAAGGGTGTATTTTAAGGGGAACATGTTGTAAGTTGTAGTTGAGTGTACAAGTATTTGCCATTGCAATTACAATGTATGTGTATTTCCACTGTTTGTCTATGACATTATTTGGCGAGTCATCTCTTGTGTTTTAAGACCCTTCGAGGGTTAACCACAAATCAACACACAAAAGGTAAAGACACACTAAGTTAGATTAAGGAATCAACACATTGTCACTCAGAACTAATTTTTATTAGTCAGATTAGAGCAATATATAAGATTCTTCAACCACAGAAGTAATATCTGAATTTTTTGCATTTGGCATTTACAAAAAAAAAAAAACCAACACTTATAGGTATAAAACGCAAGTCATGGCTGGGGGACCTAGGTTTTTTATACAGATTATGGTAGGTAAGCTTACAAATTCATTGAACACCATGCAATTGCAAACATATTTTTTTTATAAGCCAACAGTGAATGGATTAGAAGCCAGACTTTTCAAATAATACAATACAAAATCATTGTAGATGATAACTTCTTTTATTCCTATTTAACTATTTAGGGTTTGAGGGTTATATTAAACTCAAACAGCTCTAAGCTTTTGGTTTGAATTGTAAAAAAATATTAAAATTAAATTATTTTAAAGATTGAGAGTATGAGTAAAAAAAAAATAAACCCAATTTATTCCATCCACACAATATTCAGTTTGTTCTACGTGTGCAAATCACAACAAATGCATTCCTCCAGCCAGTGACATTTCAAAGTGTATACAATATGATAGCAGTGTTTCGGTTATCAAATAAAGGGAACTTAGTTCATTAATGTTCTGATATCAGGGCTGTGCGAATAGTTCGAAAAACGAATCAAATCCGAATCTTTTTAGAGATTCGATTCGGATTCGAGAACGAATCTACTGTTTCTAACTGGATTCGGATTCGGAATCGATATTCGAATTTACTGGTAAGAGATCCGGGTTCGGATTAGATATTCGAATTTCTTGGAAATAGATCCGAGTTGGGATTCGATATTCAAATTTACTAGATTCTGATTGAATATAATTTTCAATATAATTTTTTAGACACTCAAAAACTACTTGTGCACTCCGATTTGCTGTTGACTGGTTCATGTTAGGAACCTGACCAACTTGGTGTTAGGCTTTAGGCACATTAGTGTAGGTCGCATTTGAACCCTATCTTGGCTATCAGTAAACTTAACCTCACAGTGTTAGTTGTTACTTGTAATAGTAATGCAGACATAGGCTTGTGTGGAGGATTAACACCGAGGTGTATAATAGGCTGGGCCTATGTTTTAGACTACACAAATTGGCAGTCCACCACTTTTAGCGAGTAACTTAGGCCTAGGTGGTATGCCTAACTTATGCCCAATTTTTTAGTTTCAAAACTTCAAATAGGTAGGCCTAAATTTTATAACTTTTTTATTTGGCCCATTTCAAGAATTTTTTTAAGCAATTCCCTAAGTTATTTCAGCCCCAGAAAATGTGGTCTAAAAATGTGAAAATTGGTACTCCTGACTTTCCTCGGATTTGGATTCGACTCTGAACAGGTTTAAATATTCGGATTCGATAACAGCTTTAAATTTCAGATTCGGATTCGATCCAGGTTCGATAATGGCTGTAAATTTGAGATTCGGATTCGACCCAGATTCGACTTGGGATTAATTAAAATATTCGGATTCGATCCGGATTCGATAAAATCTGTACAGCTATGAATCGGATTCGGATTCGAACCAAAATTTCTGGATTCGCACAGCCCTGTCTGATATACAAATTTTAAAGTTTGTGTTTGTATAAATAATTGCAGTAGAAAATCTGATTTCATGATAAATCATACTTTTGGAACACACCTAACAAAGAATTGGCTTAACTAGACAGGAAAGGGAACAACACGGACCAATTCTGGCTCTAGGGCTACACCTGAAGGGATATGGAAAGGAAGAACTCAAACAATCAATTTCTTACAGAAGTATGCACACACGGGCAGCCGAACAATTTTTGTCCCAATTGAGCATGCAATGCATCTAATTACAAATCTCCTTCGTTCCCTGCCTAATATAGCCTAAAGCGCCGATAACAACGGAGGACACACCATGCAAAATGTGAATCAGTTGAATGCATTGTGAGGATTCTGAGAGTTTCGTGGCTTATTGTTTTTCCACATGTTGTCTCACTGTGTTGTGTAACAGCTTTCATTTCATAACTCAGAAAGCATCCAACAGAAACTTTCCTGTCTAGTGTGGCCCAAGCTTAAATTTCAGCAGTAAACACATAACTGTTATTCATGCTAAGCAATCAGATGAATTTAGTAACGTCCTAGCATTATATCAAAAATAAATTTTACACATAATGTTACAAAATGACAAAACATGTTTGAAAATTGTCTTTGGTCTGTAAGACAGTACAACATTGCCAAGGCAGATTAGTGAGCAGGAATGTTTGCGCGATGTCAGACCTGGCGGAGTGATTGTGCTGATACAGGTGACATCGTCACTGTCCCCACTACTGGATGACACTGGATGAGTCTTACCATTACCTGGGTCTAGAGGGTTTAGGTGCATCATCCCAATGTCCGCAGCCACAGCCGAGTCAAGGAAAACATCCTCATCCATCCTGCAAACAAACACATGAGTCACAACAAACAAATCCCTAAAACATTACAGGTGTACAGATAACCGAGTCTGAACAAAGCCTAAATTTAATATTCGTACCAGGATATTTGTTAACTATTACACTTTTCGGATGGACTATTTATTTTGATATTTTAAACTAAAAACTATCTGCACACCTCTATAAAACATGAAGTAAGTACTTAAAACCAAAAATTGCTGCAACTAAAAACCAAATTTTAAACTGTGAACAAAGTCGCTATTATTTGAAATGTTTAATCTTACTAATATTATAAATAAATGTGAAAGTTTGTGTGTTTGTTTGTTTGTTTGAAGTTCAATCACGCATTAACTACTGGACGGATTGGGCTGAAATTTAATATTTACCAACAGGGTGCAGCACTATTATTTTTTGGCATTTATTAAAAAAGCTAATTTGAACCATAATAGATAAAACATAGTTCCTTTATGTTTTATCTATGTTTGAATTAAGCAGCAACAAAAAGCTGTGATACGCAATAAGAACTGTCGAAGTAGGATTGTTTGTAACAGTCGTTTATGTTTTTAATTTAATGAATAATTTGTGATATTTTGCGAATTTGTAATAATTAAGTTTTCTCTATTGTTTAGGTGGTTTAGGTGAAGTGGTAGAACATTATGGCTATGGTAGATGTGTAATACTATGTATACCACAAATTTAAGAGGAAGCAAATTTTATCAAACTGTGTCCTCCCCCATTGAAAACGCAAAGCTTGAATATAACTGCAATAAGCATTTTATTCTTAAATGCCAACCCCGTACGAAGGACGGGCACTCTGCTAGTTTATTAAATGAAGGAGTACAATGTACTGCATAATTCAATATAAACCATGAATATCATTGTATACTATAGGTAAAAGATGTACTGCTTGGAAAAATTTGTTAAATAATCTGAAAATAGTGAAAACTCACCCGAAGCAGTCGCCGCTGTAATTCTTTTGCAGCCAAATGTTGTAGTATTCTTCCAGCACCAATCTGGCATTCTAAAATATAAAAAAATTTAAGAACAGTTAAAAAAGTACAGCAGATTCTCTCATTGTGTGGGTCCAATTGCTTTGTGGCTGGATGATCTAGCTGTACCATAGATCATAACAATACCTTTACAACATTTAACTATGTTTCTGACCTACTTATGAATATATCTATTTAAGATATCTAGCCTATGTTTCACTTAAATACCCCCGCCGCAGCAAACCTGACGCCTAAGCGAATTTCCATTTGGCTGAATTGATTTTCAATTGATCTATTTAAAATTTTAAATAACATTAGGTTTAACGAGTACCTAGGTTTGCTGCTACAAGGAAACTAATAAAGTGTGTGTTTTAAGTAAAATAATTATTGCTTAGTATAAAATGAATATATTTGCCAAGTTTGATCAAAAGATATCCATAAACAAGCAAACTACAACACTTTACAATATTCTCCATAAGAATAACATGGGAATTTTAAATTTATAATTTTTTTAGTTTTCTCCGTAACCAATAACCGTACAAAAACACTTTGATATACTGAATTGTTTGTTTTTTAAGCTCTTTATGAAGGTTTAGAGAAAAATTGGGAAATTTTGTGTTTTGAGGGTCAAAAGTGAGAAAAACCAATTTTTACCCCATAAAATCCCCCATAAAACCCTGTTCCCATGGTCCGATCATGCTGGATCGCGAACTCATTCAAGTTTATCCCGCCTTACACCTTCAAACCAAATTTCATCAAAATCGGATAAAAATTACTCAAGTTATTGTGTTCACGGACATATATATATATATATATACATACATATATAAAAATTTGAACGAGTGGTGTTTTTGGCCTCTGGGGACATCAAAATGAAAAAGTAAATCGGTCCCGGGCCTAAGTCCTACCATGAGACCTACGGTAATAGCTACTTCCCTATGGGGAAATTCGCTAAAAACAATTCATGAAATCTTGTTTAATAGCAACTACTCAATATCAAGTATAAAATTAATAGGCCTACGTTCACTACTAACATTCTCAAACATAATAAATAATATATTTTGGAACTTGTCTGGTAAAATATAATTTTCACCCCACACATATATGTAATTTGTTTTTATTTGATTTTAAACAATGTAGGCCTACTGCAGTAACTTAAGTATATATTTTGTATTTGTTTACAATAAAACTGGAAACTTTGTATTGAGGAACTAAATAAGTGGGAAAGGAATTATTTTTCCCCGACTGAATGGAAAATCTAACAGGTAATTGGAAGGAGTCATGTTGCTAGTCATTTTGCTAAATTTGTTTCATGGATAAACAAGGTTAGAATCAATAAAAAAGGGGGGTGTAGAGAGAAAGTCAGAATGATACGTAACATACCTATTTATATACAACTATTACTTAGGCTATTGATTCACTCTCACCTTTACCACGTCGTGGTTGGTACCCGTGATCTTGACCACATCATGACCAAGTGTCACAGTATATTTGTACTCCCCAAGGTTGGCATCATTGGTTGAAAAGCTGTGAGGAAGTGAACGCCGAGATCCTGCTAGTGTAAATGCTAAACAAAGTTAGCGTATGAAAAATTTGTTAGTAATTTGATGTGCAAGAAACCCTTTTCAAATAACCTCAGGATAACTTTCATAAACATATGGGAGAAAATCATAAAAAAAACTCAGATCTATATTTTTTATATATTAGACACTAGACAGTAACACCAAAATGCTTGTCACTGACTATATTACTCAATTGTGGATATTTATAGGCATGTGATACTCTCTGGTGTAAATTAATGTCCTCACTACTGAGTACTATGACTATTAGCAGTACTATCCTGATAATTAGACCAATTTGTATATACCAAGGCAAAAATGTGGTTCGGATTCCACTATAAACTGTAGGTCCCTTAGTTGCCATCGGCTGTATGGGCTATTAATTAACAGCTGTGTCTAAGGAATATGTCGGCCTTAGTCACTAACAAGACTACAAGATTGCGCCACTCATCCTACACTCATCTCCATTCATACTTGGCTTAAAATACCTACTTTGTATGGTCACCATTTCATCAAAAAGTATTAAAGTATAAAGTATTAAGTACTCCCAATTAATCCTAGTGTTACAAAATTAGCTCCAAGTATGGCTAATAGGATTGTCCTGGAGGACGCTCAAAAAACTTAAACATCTCCAAAAAGAATTTACTTTACTACCCAACCCAGTATTAAAAATTATTGAAACTAATTAAAATTCCCTTCATCAGATTCTACAAATCAAACAAACACTTAACTTTGTGACACTTTGGACATTACATCCCCTTACAAACTCCATGAAAAAAGGCCTGACCTTAAAACATAGTAACCAGTACTCACCCAAACCTCCTATGAAATAGCCTTAAAATTCCAACCATCAACTGACCAAAAGAATAGGTAGTCTTAACGGCCTGGTTCCCTTTATTTCAGTTGTTTGAGGTTCAGGTGATGGTACTAAGTTTGTACTTTTCTAACCCAATAGTCTATCCTTCTTTTCTCTCAATAAAGCCTTTAGTCATAAACATTAACAAATCAAAATATCATATAACCCAGAACCTGATCTAGTTCTACATGATAGGTTTCTATACCTTGGAGTGGGTTACGGCCGCTTTCATCGGAAGCACTGCTGTTCAGACTAGAATTGGAACCGCCGATTCTCTCTCTATCACCTCCCTCCCGTATTGGCGAAGCATTGCGACGGATCGTATCTTCCATCAGTTGCCGCGCGTTACTGCAGAAAACAAACAGAATTGTAACGAACGATGGAAAAGAATGCCATGGCCTTTTTGAAGTGAAATCCTAACACACACATTCTCCTCCCACACATGTAGGAGTTGAGGACTAGAAATCAACGCTACTACTGCACATCGCTAAACAAAACTTTTGAAAACCATACCTTTGGTACTAATGTAGCTTGTTATATTTTTAAGAGTAAAGTGGGATGTTGTATATTTGGACTTTAGAATAGATAATTTTATTTATATAGATAGGGTTGTTGACTACACTTAGCTGCATACAATGCACAAGCTGTTGGAAACTACGATTTGTAACAATTTATTTTTATACTTCAATAAATACAATTTGGACTATCACATAATAACCAGAAAGCAATCATTCACCAGAATAGGGATCTTGTCCCTGGTTTATCATAAACAAGTCGGCCTATAAAAAATATAATAATGTGATAGCAATGAAACATAACTCACTTGATTTTGTCTTCGCTTGGTCCTGTTATTTGAACGAGGCGTTCTTTAGCCCCAGGATTCACTGGAAAAACATCACAAGGATTAAAAGACTTTTAAAAGCGGTTGACATCTCAACAATATGGCCATTTGCCATAGATTACAGAAATTCACATAAGCTTTAGACAAGTATGTCTTATTTATTAAGTATTAGGATACTCTCACGGAACTACATAAATCAATGGTTAAAGCGGGGAGAGGCTTAAAAATGAAAAAATCAAACTGTAAAATCGGTTACAGCTAAGTATGGATTAAGTGTTGTTGTCATTGCATATCAACAGTTTAAAATGAGGATTTGAATGTGGTTTAATCATGTGACACATATTATGTGCAAGGATTCCTCCAATTGTTTTTGATACCTAACCATATTATAAATATTTAACAAATATCGTTATGTAATAAATTTGACAGGCCAATTTGCCAAAACAACAAAAAAGCGATTATTTTGACTGCAAAGCAAAAATATTGAGACTTTATTTACAAATGGATGATACAAGTTTCATTAAAGAGAGATCGTGCTAAGAAGAAGACTATCTCTATGCTTATTCATTCTGCAACGCATACTTAGGTGCATATTTAAAGTTGAATATCAATGCAAGTTTAGCGTAGAATAGAGTGAGATGATCTGTAAGACTACGATCAGCTGTTTCATTAATAAAGATCATTTATTAAAAGCCCAATGAACACCGGCTTACTGACTATTCTCCGGATCGAATGAGGATTAAGAATTCTTTAATTAAAGGAACTGGAAATACCTGTTAAAATATTGCATCTCATTTTGTGAGAAAAAAATAGACAAGACTCAAGAATTCTTTATTAGCAGGCCAGTATTTCTTTTCCTCCACTAAAATCACATGTCTTCATGTTCATCCAGAGTGCATAGTAAAATGTAGCTAAAATATCACAGTGTTGACTTGTGCCCAAGTCCCAAATTAATCTGGAAGGGGTTTGCGAGAAGATACAGTTATTTAAACTTATTTGGATGAAAACATTTACAGTACACTCTCGATTATCCAAGACTTCAGCTTATAGAAGTTCGGTTTAACCTTTTAAATTTTTTTTCTTTATTATGAAAGTTTCTTTTGAAAGTAAGTTAAAAATAGCCAGTAATTCGCGATTTGTTAGAAATTAATATTTAAAACTATCATTAGTATTATTTTAATGTACGAATGATACGTTGAAAATTGAAATCACATAGTACTAGAGGTTGGTTGCCAACATTAGGAAGTTGGACGAGTCGTCTGCATAACGTAAACAATACCTTTGGCTTATTTGTTTAAGAATTAACCTCTTGCATTGCCTTTTGTCAGTCTCTGTCATTACAATCTTTTGATATTGACTTAGGGATGGACAGGTCTCGAAATTTCGGGAAATTTTAAATCTTGTTTTATGAGACGAGATTCTATTTTGGTCGAGATTTTTTCGAGACAAGATTATAAAAAAAATATAAAAAAGGCTGCACAAAGTCAATGCAAAACCCGCAACACATGAGCATGTTGATGTTTCCTTTGCGAAGGCGTTTTTATTTAATTATTAATTCTTTACAAGTAAATATTGCTATATTGTTTTCTAATTTTTTGTTTTGACATAGAAAATGATTCAAAGTTTTGTTAGTGTAAGACATGTTTTACTACTGTAAACATAGGCAAAACAAGTCACTCCAAAATCATTATAAAAACAACACAAAACTGAAAAATTGTTGCTTGATACCAAACTAGTAAGACTGATGTTTTAGGCTAATAAATTTGGCATTATTCAAAGTTGAACTATATCCTAACTGATATCTCCATGTTTCCTACGCAGAAGAGTTATTTTTAATAAGGTACTCTAGGCCTAATTAATATTTTTCTTTTATACTGATGTTTTTTATCTAATGTGGTACCGTAAACCGTAACCCCTAACCTCAAAATCTAAGCGATCTCTGTGTTTTGGTCCCAACAACCTCGGTTAAACGAAAGTGTACTGTACTACTACTACTAGTTAAATTGGATTTTGACTTATCTGGTTATTGGCTTTAGTTTTAGAGTTAGCTAAGGATAAGTTACCAGCCCAAGGTCTAGGAGGAGGACCCATGTAGATGGGAGCGTGACGAGGAAAGAAGGTAGGAGGGTAAAGGTAGCGGGCAGTGTTCCACACCACCGGACTTTTGATTATCAACGGTCTCATGTATTCTGCTGACACAAGAACCTCTAAGTAGATGAACACTTACACAAGATAGAAGTAGACAACCCAGTTGGATTAGCCAGTGTTAGAATAAAAATATAATTTAATCCAAGCTAAATGGTTTAAGTTCCCTTGTCTTCGTCAAGTGTACCTTTACAGTAGTGCACTAATATAGTTTAGGACTTTAGGAGTCCATCATCAGGTTTGACTAAAACATTAGGTCATCTATCCGATTTGGGAGACGCCGGGCATTTTTTTTTTTTTCAGAACTATAATCGTTAATCATATTTTTCTATTTTTGTTGTGTGTTTGTGCTGCATGTGTTCTACAATGGTAATGGCAGATCTGGCCAAATTGGACAGATGACCTGATGATCGACGCCAGAAGTCTGAATCTATAGTAGAGTAGGCTAATACTGCAAAGGATCACTTCATGAAGCAAGGTAACATAAACAATTTAGCGATCCAAAACCTACTTTATCATGAAAATATTTGAATTTACACTCAAAGAGTCTGCTGATGTCATTACTCATTTACGTTTTAGATAGGCCAACTTTTCAATCATACTCAGGTAAAAGTAAAAGTTACTGAAGCTATGGAGTTTTTTTAAGGTAACAAAAACAAACATTGTATCAAAAACTAATGGAGAAAATAGAATTTTATGAGAAGCGTACCCAACTCACCTGCTTATTCAATTCAATATATTTGAAATAAAAATTGGCTTGGGTCCATTATAAATGGGAGGTCTACTTCAGTATCCAAAGGGTGTCTATAATACCTACAGTCATGTTAGTAAAACATATAAAACTAGAATAATTATTTTAAACTATTGTTTAACATACATTGGTACTATATTCACTATTCAGACACACATTAGAAAATTCTAAATACAGTTTTAAAACTCAATACTAGGTCACAGTATAGGAGTCTCACTCTATCCGGATGCCTACTAACCATACATCAGTTTAACCGTATTACACTCGGCAGAAGTGACATCTCTTTAACCGGAATTATTATCAGCACATCATCAGTTTAGGCGGACTGGATCAGCTGCAGTACTGAAACGACTTTTACTGTGGGAAAGATTTGAGACCAGAGTGATCACGTGTCTAAATAAAATGCTCTGCCAAATTTAAGTAGGCTAGTCTAAAATATTAGGGTTAGTTTTCTAGTGATTCAAGTTTAAGGGGACTTTGGTTTAACCGGAAAACCCATTATCCGGACTAGACTTGGTCTCGAGGGTCCGGATATGAGAGAATCTACTGTAGCTGTTTCACACTAGACTACTTACTAACTACTAGGGAAACCAGTCACACTTCAACTCATGTACAGTAGACTCCCTCTTATACGGACTCCTCGACACCGAGGCCAGTCCGGATAACAGTTTTTTCGGTTAAGCCGACGTCCCCAAAAACTCATTAAAACGGACTGTTTACGGTGATATTCGACTTAAATTTAGGAGAGCGTTGTATTTAGACATGTGATCACTGGTCTCAAATCTTTCCCTCGCAAACAGTCGTTACAGTACCGCAAAACTTCCTGCCGATCTAGTCCGGTTAAACCAATGTGCTGATAAAAATTGTCCGGTTAAAGAGATGTCATTTCCGTCGAGTGTAGTACGGTTAAACCGATGTCCGGATAAGAGGGAGTCTACTGTAGTGGCTATTTAGAAACTTGGTTATGCTGTTCGGTTTTATTCTACTCATACAGGGTAAGTCAAAGTCAAAGTCAAAGTCATACAGGGTAAAATAGTTATTAGACATTGTACTGTTTGTTAGCAACAAAATTTAGATTTTATACACATACGGAACCAAAGTAATTGCTTCTATGTCAAGGAATAAGAAGCAGGGACAATTTGGGTGAATCAGCCAAACTGATGAACAAATTTGCAGTAGAGGAAATTTACAACTGTCCACAAGCACAAATCATAAGAGAAGATGGGTTAGGCTTCAGCATCACAGGATAAGCAAGCTCACTCTCTTCTCCCCTTCCCAGACAGTCGCCTATGTTCTACTTCCAATGTTCTGATTATACAGGAGTTAATTGAGACAATCACAGGAATAATTACGGACCATGGCTTCCTGAGATTGCACCTGCATCACTTGGGGATTTACAATGGAGACACTGCATGTAGGAAATATAGGCAGTCCAAGGAGACTGTATATTATCTACTATTCTATGACTGCACAGCTCTGAATGAGGTAAGAGAAAGCACTCTTGGTACCATGACAAGGGGCCGACAGGATACTGCAGTTTATTGAGCAACTCAGGTTTGACAGGCTCTGATATACCAAGCGGGGAGCGCTATCAAAAATATTCCTTGTGAAAGAGCGGATTTCCTTGAATGCGCCAACACCAAACAAGTTACCTTTTCTTCTTTGATCGATAAGTTCAGTGCGGCATATTCAAACTAAACACGCATATACTACACAGGCTGGTAGCGGCACTTGTGGTCGGAGGGGTTTACGTATAGGGTATGGGGTGATAGGGTAAATAATAAAGAATAGAATATAGAATACATAAAACAAAAATCACACATTTGATAAAACAGTGTTAGTACACACAATTCAAACTTCCAACAGTTGATAGGGAAACACAAGGTTCTAAGTTATAAGGAGTTTAATTTTAAACAACAATAACAGATTTTTAGAACCAAATGACACTCTGACTGAAAATCAAAATAGAATTTAATCCTAAACAATACAATCAATCACCATGGATTTTTAGTTAGACTCATCACTAACAGTACTGTATGTACAACTAATTTATGACTGCAAGATGTCTTATACAGGATCTGTGAAAAGAATAAGAAGATTTTGAACCACTGTTGCTTGGGGACTATTGAAGAAAATTAAAGAATTTTAATTCCAAATTGAAGGGAAAATAATAGTTTTCCCCTTAGGCCTACACTAATATGTTTTGATCTCATTGAGGATAAAACCGGCAAAGTTAGTAAGCTTAATGCTTCTTAACACGTTCGCACCCGGCCACTTGGAGGGCTGCGATTGCCGTGGGTCAGTACTGACCCACACTGCAGTGCATCAATTTGTTATTCTGTTGTTCAGTGCGAGCCTAGCATCAGTCGAAGGCGGACCTATACCACGTTTGCGTGTAGTGTGTCACATGTTATTTGTTGTGGTGTAGGTTGGTAGTGAATTTCTTTGTAAAAAATCTCCGTCTGGCAAGCTTAGAAATCAAGTTGTTTTCCCATATTTTTCCCACCAATTGGCAATACAATGGGACTGGCTACGTTCCAGTGCTGCTATCTGTGAGTGTTTTAGCGAACTATGTCAACTCTCGTAACGCAGTACATCACGGCACGCTATTTGTTATTTGTCAGACCAAAATTTGAAAGCCAATTGCCCGGGAATCGGGTCTGTTCGACACTGCGCCACACCGGGGGCTACGCCTGCCATAGATGGGCTGCAGCGAACATGTTAACTGAATTTTGAAGGCACAAAGTCTCAATATCTTACGAATAACAGCATGGAGTGTTGATTCAGATGTTTAACTGAAGACATCCTCGGGCAATCAATTTTTTCAGGCTTCTGATGCAGGATGGTCGGATTTCTTTGACTTTGTCATCACTTGTTTCTAGCTGGCCAGGTGAATGTCTTATCAAAACATTTTATTTGTTACGAAACTGGTTAAACCAGTGAAGAATTGCTTTTTCATCGGGAGAGTTTTGCCATCAATACTACGTAACTTGAAACCGGTACTGTAGGTACAGTATTGCAAACTACACAGCACACTGTGCCTGTTATTGCGCTGTAAACATCACTAACAACTGGTGTCAGCCGTGAAGAGTCACAATTGCGGCCTGCTACCGCGCATGCCTAGGATCAACGTTTCCTTCCTTGCTACTTGCTACACGAAAAACAAAACTTAAGTTATTTCAGTTCCAATTAGTTGCTTAAATCGTTAAGTTTTATTGAACAGTCCCCAAGCAATGACTGTTTTAATACTCTACATTCTTTATCAAATACTCTGTATGTTGAGTAAGCAAGCAAAGACAGCTCGGATAGTTTATCACATAGCATCTGACAATTAACGATTTGTCAACTATCTAAATGTAACATGAGTGATGATTGTAGTGTTCATGCGATGCATTAACGATTAGAGCTGACAGCTGATGATTAATCGTTAATCGTTAACGGAAGCTGTGCCACAAACACAAGTGAGGTTAGGTCCAAGCAAGGTTTACCTCGCTGAAATGAAATGATGGTCTCAGACAGTTCCTCGATCATATGAACTCTCCTTCCTTTGATGCCCATCACTACATAAATAAACGAATACATGAAAATTGCATACTGCCATATCAATACTTACGGTTATTTCCATTGAAATAAAATCATGTCACATTCAGTTGTCAGAGATTTGAAATATAGGAATGATTTTAATTGTCGCCCATCTTGCTTTCTTAGGCTTCACTGTTAAAGCTAAGGAGTAACAATTTAAGAAATTTGGAAAGTTTTAAAATTATTTTATTCTTTGCCAACTCTTGTGAAAGGTCTTGCTTGACTCTAATGCTCAATTAACGATTTTAGCATAAATATCACAAGAGTTAACAATAAACAAATAAATCATTGTGTAAAACCACAGTCTGGTGTAACATAAACCTATTAGGCCTATGCTAATCTAGTAAGAGAAATACGCACTAAGCCTATAGGCCTACAGGTGGTATAGGCTAGTTGTTCACACCAGTGAGTCCTTCCAAAGCTCAAAATATGACTTAAGTGTGGCCTAATTTTCTAAAAAATTAGCTATTTAAGTCAAAATACAATTTTTTCCATTAACGTGTTAAACAGGGAAATAGCCTAAACCATTGATGGACTGAAAAGAAATCAGTAAATTAAAAAAATTTCTAAGAATTTTCCTGAGTTCTAGCGTTTTACATTATATTGATTTAAACACAAAAAAATAAAAATAATTGCTCATGTTTTAGGCTACCTTTTCCTGAGTCACTGTTCCTGATAACTACTTCGTCTTTGCAGTAGTTTTTCCCAGGTATTTTTGTAGGTTTCGAGAATTTTCCAGATGTCTTCAGTACTTCTCCCGGTCCGAGGACTGGAGGGGTGGGAGGAGAGGAGGTTGTCATCGGAATCGTTGTCGTATTCGTATCAGGAGTCGTAATAGAAGGTTCCATCTACAACAATAAACAATGAAATAACTTGCTTGGTATCAAATTATTCTTTTAAATAATGATATATGTGCTAAGATATCACTAATACTTATAGGCTACTTATACTTTTCTTGAAATGGTGACCATACAAATTAGGTATTTTAAGCCAAGTATGAATGGAGATGAGTGTATGATGAGTGGCGCGATCTTGTAGTCTTGTTAGTGACTAAGGCCGACATATTCCTTAGACAGAGCTGTTAATTAATAGCCCGTACAGCTAATGGCGACTAAGGGACCTACAGTTTAACCCTCCGAGCGTCCATCGTCGAAAAATCGACGCGCTACACACTTTGTGTAGTGTCTCGCATCGATTTTTCAACGCGCGAACATCGTTTACGGCGAAGGCTCTATGACTGACTGAATCGGATTGAACTGGATCGAGTTAGGTATCGTTCTTTTCGTTATATTCTAAGCTTTCTCCAGAGGTCTGTCTCAGCGCTGTATGTTCTCCGAGCCGATCATAATTGTAGCAGACAGCTGACGTGCGTATTTGTAAATAGCTAGGTTACCCTCGGACCGATGACTGATGTGTTTTATTACGTTTATCATTGTTTTAGTGTTAAAAATCAAAAGTAGTGATATACGTGGTGCATTATAAGAAGATTTAAGTGATTTTGAAGGGCTGGTTGATGATCCTGAAGAAGTAGGTAGTGATATTGATGTAAATTATCAGCCAGATTCCTAGCTATGGTTAGGCTATGCATTCTTAGCTAAACGCTATGTACTGAAATCTGTTTTTTGCCCATAACTTATTTATTTGCAAATCTACTTCCTTCTTGTATTATTATATATTTGTAATCCTCATAAAATTTAGAACAAAGTGGCTATTTTCAAATATTTATAGGCCTATAATTTATATAATTTCATTGAGCGCAAACTTATTTTTTTTTTTGAAAATTTTCGAAATTATATTTTTTTTACCTAAAAAATTTTTTTTTTGAAAAAATGTTCCTTATGTTTTATATATAATATTGAAGCCCATGATTTTCCAAACAAAATGGTATATAGAACAGTAGAATTAACATTGTTTTAAGCTTCTCAGATCGGTTTTAATAAAACCTTGCAAATGCGCCAAAAATAGGTGGACATTAAGGCCTAAACTATGGACACTTGGAGGGTTATAGTGAATCTATAATCCGAGAACCTAGGCCTACTTTAACTTTTTTTAGAGAACTTTTAGATTTTGTAGGTTTATATTATTAGTTTATTATTAGTTTTAATTTTAAGAAAATAAGAGAGGACCCCTGAGTGGAGGATTGCAAATTTTTTATATGGTTCAAAACTTGTTTAGCCTAAATATGGTGGCAAAATGAATTGGTGTTTCGAAGATTGATATTCATAAGTATTTACTTTGTAAATGTTTTTCACTAGCCTATATTATATCTTGTGTTTACTTTCTGTATGTTATACCGTCGTAGTCCTCAATGTGCCATCTAAATGACCTATGTAACTTATTTGATTTTTTTGTTAATGCCTGAATTTTTTATGTAGGTAGCCTACTGTATTTATCTCTGACTTGTGTTTTTGCAGCATGTAATCCACTTTTTGACGTGTCCATATGCGTATGTGTCTACTGGAATAAGATGTTGATTTTTGATTCTTGATTCTAATATTTTTTAAATATTTATGGGCCTATCTAGCCCAGTTCAATTAGATAGGCCTAGTCCTAGTATACAATTTACTTTAAGGACACTCATTTTATTACAGTGTAGGCCTAGTTGGGCCTACTGAGATAGTTGATGTGGCATAAAAGCTGCTAAAGTTTACGATAGCTGTATACATTTCAGTTTGACTTCCGGTTAAATAGCTGGTGTGTTTAACATAAATCAGTAGGTAATCTACATAAGCTGACGGTAGCTTGATTCACCCTTAGAGTGCCAGGCGAGAAATAAAAGTGACGCTCAAAAAATGCCGATGATTTTTCCCGAAGGTCGCGCTAAAAATGCCGAGCGCGATCTGGCGATTTTTAGGTTAAAATTTCGTAAAAATCGAATTTTCTATATTTCGACCAACGAAAATCGATGTATCGCATCTAGTAACTTTCGACTCAATGTTAATATATGGGTTAAAAGAATCCGAGTATCCATTCGGTTGTTATGACAACTGTTCGATCATTACGAAACGTCCGGTCAGCCGGACGTTGGCACTTTTGGCTCGTTCTAAAAACGTCCGGTCGGCCGGACGTCGGCACTTTTGGCTCGTTTTAAAAACGTCCGGTTCCCCGGACGTTGGCACTCAAAGGGTTCAACTACGTTCATTTTGTCAAAAGACTGGCGGCAACTTTAACATAGGGATGCAATATAGGCCTATGTAGTTCTGACCGTAGTAAAAGGTAGTAGACCTACGGTACTAGTTTATGGATTTGTATTTGCATAGGTATATATTTTTTTTATAGCCTAGACAGAAATAACAAATAATTTTCACTTACCTCAGCAGCCATTTTTGCAGAGTAGTAAAATTGAGTTTTATCAGTATCCGTCCAGTGATTAGCTCTTAGTTCAACTAACTGTAACAAATGAAGTCTCGTCGAACAAAGAAGAAACTCGTTTTGGCAACCATCCCGAAATATATTGAATGCTCGATCAAGTTGATCTGTAAAAATTAATGAATGATATAGAAAAGACCAATATAAATTTAAACAACTAAGTTATTATGGCTTTAAATTATTTCATCTGTACAATTATTAGGTGTAAATGAAAGCTAAATAATATACAGTACTCAAAACAGTACTCAAAATGCAGTAAAATCACCTATTGTGCACCCTTTCAAACAATAATTAATTAAAGCTTAGACTTGTCCAAACAGCTTACATTGTTAAATCAGATATAACCTACACTGCATAGGGATATGCTATAATATGTCTAAACAAAACTGTACAAATACACAAAAAATAAATCTATTTCAATTCTGCTTTACCTCAAAATGTTTCACAATAAATTTTCAATATCATAAAAATTACTTAAATTAGTCCTAACAACATAGCAAAGCAAAAACAACAAACTAAAACAGATTTAACACATGTTAGAACTACTCAACAATGACAATGCTCTAAGTAAAAAAGAACAGACTTAAAGAATGAAATTCTTAGATTTTGTAATGAGAGTAAGTAAAACTATTCTTTATATATTTTATAACATTATAAACAATTACAAAGTAATAATTCTTTGTTTCCAGTACGTTTTTGTGTCAAATGTTATTTGTTTTGAACTGTGGAACTATTTTTTGTTTGTGAAATCATTAAAAGTTTTTTATTTCACTGGCAATCTAAAATATAACACATCCATCTATACATCTACAGGGTGATTGATATAAGTGTGCCAGCCGTTTTATTCGAAAACCATAAGAGATATCAAAAAAAGTTAAATGGTAAGTGCCTTGGACTTTTTATTTAAAAAATTGTAGTAAAGTCGAAAAAATTATTTTCGCCACCATTTTTCCAATATGGCCGCCAACTTTGATTTTTCTTATGGAACACCCTGTATTTTATGATGTATTCTGGTAGAAAATGTAATTTTAAGACGATTTTATTCTTGTGATTTTTTTCATAAACCTAACCGTTAATCTACAAGTGAAGACCTTTAATTTGATGTGCATATCGACCTATTTTTACGTTAACAATTTTCTTCCGATTCCTAGGGCTGTGCCCCCTGAGGAGAAAGCGTATAATAGCAATGTTAATTAAATGAATCTTTGAACATCTGCCATTTTGCGCTGGATCAACCTTTTGAAGTGCGGTTTGCGGCATTGTATTCTACTAAAAAAGACCTTTAATTTGATGTGCATACTGACCTATGCTTCCATTTAAGATTTTCTTCCGACTCCTTGTGGGCCGTCCCCCTGAAGAGTTATTGGATCACTGAATATGTGTTAAAATAGAGTTTTATGCCCTGTAACTTTGTACCGAGTATTGTAGCTCTATCTTCATTATTTTTTAAAATATTTAACTGTCCAGGGACTTTTTTACCACCCTGTATATATATATATACTAGCTGTTGTACCCGTGCTTTGCAACGGGAAGAGGACACAAAATAGAAACATTTTAATCTTTACATATGTTGCATATAATAGTTACACATCCGCCAACGCTTTTAGAAACAAAATTCAACTTTTATAGCCTTAATAGAAACGTTTAAGTTATATGACTTTTAAATCTGGTAAGTACTGGATACCACCATTTTGGTTTTGATTAATTTTAAATCTTGTGTAGGCTGATATGAGAAAATCTTCGAATAAAACATTGACATACAAGATTTGCCTTCATCTTACATATCTTTTAATTTATTATTGACATTTAAAATTTCAATTTTGAAGTTGCAAAAATACTAATTATTAAATTTAAATGAATATTTTTTTAAATTTCACTCTTCTTTATGTTAAATCACAAATCCTTCCATCTTCAGTTTCCTCACTCACAATAAATCATTAGCAAAACTAAGTCAGCTGTTATAAACTTTAGAAATATTGCTATGCCTTATCAATACAGTTTTTTGAAATATTAAAGAAACTATATCTATAGGTACAATAAAAAATTGTAAACAAATAATTTAGCATTAAAGACAGCAGACAAAACTATTGTTCGGCCGCTTAGAAAGCGACCTCCTCTAGCATTGGTTTAGCATTAGCGTGCAGGTCATTTTCTAAGCGGCCGAACTATAATATGATTATCAAAGCATCAAGGACTAAAAAATGTAATAGCAAATACAGTATATGTTTCATAGCATCTCTGATTCTACTCTACAAAAATATCAACAAACAACTCGTTTTTTTAATCAGTCCCATCGTCCATTGCCTTTACATTTTCACACTTACCATTAAGTAAACATAGTAACAGATATTTAATTGATTTTAGAAACAAAAGAACACTGTGTACTGCTTAGTTTTATGATATTTTCCTTGGTTTAATTTAATCAGTGGTGTGGCAAAACACAAATAATAAATGTATCAAATAAAGTAAATGTGAACTGAAAGCTATGTTAAGATAAAATAAGAGTATTTTGTATTAGCATTTGATAATTAAATATAGTTACATATATACAACAGAAAACAAAAATCAACGTAAATTTCAGTTATTGATGATGTTCTTTAGTTTAATTTAAGCATAGGTTTAGCAAAACACAATAACTTAATTTACCTAAATATACATAAAAAACAATGTGATGTGCAAGTTATGTTAAGTTAATCTAACACATGTTAAGCAGTTAGAATTTATTTAAAGTAGCCTCCAAATTCATATAAAACATCTATACTTTGTTATTTTAATACTGTTTCCATGAAAACATATCAATAACATTATTTTCATAACTTAGACGCTTTAAAAAATCCAAAGCAGAGCCGGAGTTGATACAGCAATAGTTATAGAATCTTTTTTTTATAACCATTGACATAATTTTAGAATAAATAATCCATGATAAAAGGTTAGATTAAAATAAACCTACCTCATAGTTATAGAAAATATTATATTTCATTTCTTTGTATCAGCTGTCTGAAATTGTGAAATAAGCAGATTAGCAGTTCTTCTTGTTTACATTTAAATGTCAAAGCAAATGTAAACAAACATCATTAGTGTTCTCATCACAGCCATGGAGACCAATCAATATTTACTTTTAAAATGTTCACCTCAGAACTTTTAAAGCCAAAGGGGCAAAGCCTACGGTCAGTATCGAAATGTGAATAGTCCTATATAAGGTCCTGGGTATGGTAGCTATATATTTTTATAATTTAAGCCCAGTTGGTTCAGCAGTTTTGTCACCTATTAGTAATACACATACAGACAGATACCATTAGATTTTTATATAATAGTATTAGTAATACACATACAGACAGACACCATTAGATTTTTATATAATAGTATAGATAGACTTATCTATCTATATATATAAAAGGCAAAGCCCTCACTGACTGACTGACTGACTGACTGACTGACTGACTCACTCACTCACTCATCACTAATTCTCCCACTTCCCACTTACCTAGGAGGCTGAAATTTGGTACACTGATTCTTTAGGCATTAAATAGGAAAACTAAGTGGTTTTTATTCTGATCGGACTCTCGGGCTCCTCCCCAGTGGCTCTGGAGTTTCCCATATCAACCTAATGAGTACTCACATTTAAATGGAATTAATGAATCATAACAGCTGTTTCAATTAAACAAGTTGGTTCTGTTCTATTATGTTCAATAGCATTAAAGTTACAAGGATTACCAACAGAGTGCAGTGATTCAACCAGGACGTGTGAGCGCAGCGAACGAGCTCCAACCTAAAGGTGAGTGAGCGTAGCGAACGAACTTCAACCAGGACGTGATTGAGCCATGTTAAACGGGGCAAAGCCCGCGGGTACAGCTAGTTATATATATATATACGTCCGTGAACGCGATAACTTGAGTAATTTTTGTCCGATTTTGATGAAATTTGGTTTAAAGGTGTAAAGCGGGATAAACTTGAATGAGTTCGCGAACCAGCACGATCGGACCGTGGGAATGGGGCTTTACAGGGGGTTTTATGGGGTCAAAATTGGTTTTTCTCACTTTTGACCCTCAAAACACAAAATTTCCCGATTTCTCTTTAGACCTTTTTAAAGAGCTTAAAAAAACAAATAATTTAGTATATAAAAGTATTTTTGTTTGATTATTAGTAACGGAGAAAATTAAAAAAATTTTACATTTAAAATTCCCATGTTATTCTTCTTATGGAGAATATTGTCAAATGTTGTAGTTTGCTTGTTTATGGATATATTTTGATCAAACTTGGCAAATTTATTTATTTTGTACTAAGCTATCAATATTTTACGGTACTAAAAAACACACTTTATTAGTTTCCTTGTAGCAGCAAACCTAGGTACTCGTTAAACCTAAAATTATTAAAATATATTTAACTGAAAATCAATTCAGACAAATGGAAATTCGCTTAGTCGGCAGGTTTGCTGCGGCGGGGGTATTATAATAATTGTATAATAGGCAATGACACAAAAAGTCTGGGAACGGCTTTTTTCATGCTTGATGCAATACTGTACTCAAAGTACATACAAGAATAAAGTTTGATTGTTTCATTTATTGATTTTATGTTTTGAACCAATGCAGATAATGCAATGAAGCACATAAGTACCTACCCTACTTAAAAATCTGCTTTTTGAAGCAAATGTGATTTGTTTAACATAGCCCAAGGTGGAAGGAAAAAAATAGGTGTGCTATTCCCCTCATATTCTGACGTCACTCGGATTGCAAACGAAAGATTACCTGATTGTAACTGTCAAATTAGTATGTATTTGTTTTGATTTGATTGTTATTATAATAAGGCAGATTAATCTATGATTTTATTTAAAAATCTGTTTGTTGGGAAGACATGTTCTAACTTCAAAGGGAGGTATATCCGTTACAGTGTAAGTTAGATTTTTCCTTTGTCACGTCGCGTCAGTTCATATGGTAATTACCGGTATGTCGACCTCCAGTCAACGCTCTAAAAATTATTGGTTGGATTGGTTGGGTTAGGTTAGGTCAGGTTAGGTTAAGTTAGTTTAGGTTAGGTTAGGTAGGGTTAAGTTTGGTTAGGTTAGGTTAAAATCAGTTAGGCCAAAATTGCCAGGGCACCGAGCATTTTAGCATAAATCAAGTCATGGCAGTCCAAGGGTTAACTGTACTTAAGTGATGCCCTTTCTTAATATTGTGAGACGTATTTGCACATCTACGTGAAAATACCTTTAATTTGACACCTCAAACGTTAAAATCCACCAAGCAGTTATTTAGTCATGACTGTGAAAAGAAAACTGCTTGGGTATTATTAATATATAGATACTGGAAACAAAATTACACAAAAAGTACAATAACAATCAAATTTGAATAAAAACTGAGAGTATAGGCATTGACTACAGATTGTAATTGAAGCCTGTTTTGATGTGTAATTACACTTGTTTTTGTAGCACAGTGGATTGCTTTTGGCTGAATACTAGGTGGCGTTCGCAGAGGCATCCACAAAATTGAGCGGAGTCATCAAGGGTTTATATTATATTGTTTTGGTCATACTGCAGTAATACTAGTCGTTTATAATGCATGCGTTGCGGGTCTAAAGTAGCAATTTTACTCTTTAGGAAGTAAAAAAAGTTTTTATCCTCTATGGAGTAAAAAATGTTTTTATCCTTTATGGAGTAAAAATCAGCTGTTGTCAACTCAGTTGTAAATTTCTATTATAAACGATTGCATGTATCGAAATATGTATCAATTCGTGCTTCGAAATTATTTTAACCTACAGTCTACAGTCTCGTCCCAAAGCGTTTTAGCTTTGCAGATACATTAATCCATTCCCACACTCAACACGCTCACCTTTACTACTTCCTTCACCACCCCCTACGTCGTGGACATATTTCCCTCTCTTCCCATAACATTCTAGGATTGCAGATATATTAATGTAATTGCCAAAGACAGTTCCAACACTCTGCACTGCAAGCCTTACCACTTCCTTCACCATCTCCTACGTCATAGACTTGTTTCCTTCCCTTCTCATAGCATTTTTGGATTAAAGATACATCAATCTAACTGCCACAGACGGTTTTCACACTATGCTCATACTTTACTACTTTCTAAGCCTTTTTCTACATCGTGGGCCTGTTTTCATCACTTACCATAGCAATTTAGTATTTTAGATACGTTAATCTAATTGCCACAAACATTCCCCACACTCCGCACTGCTAGCCTTTACTACTTCTTCCACCATTTTCTATGTCGTGGGGATGCTTCCATCCCTTCTCATAGCATTTCAGCATTGCAGATACATTAACTTAACTGCTACAAACGGTTTCCAGTTCCCACACTCCACACTGCTCACCTTACTAATTCCTTCACCACTTCCTACGCCACGGACCTGTTTCCCTCCCTTGCCGTAGCATTTTATGATTGCAGAGACCTTAATCTAATTGTCATAAACAGTTCCTACACTCCGGACATCTAGCCTTGACTACTTCCTTCATCACTTCCTACGTCGCGGACCCGTTATCCTCCCTTCCCATAGCATTTTATGATTGCAGATATCTTCATCTAATCGTCATTAACAGTTCCCACACTCCGGACTGCTCGCCTTTACTACTTCCTTCACCACTTCCTACGTGACGGACCTGTTTCCCTCCCTTCCCATAGCATTTTATGATTGCAGATACCTTAATCTAATCGTCATAAACAGTTCCAACACTCCGGACTGCTCGCCTTGACTACTTCCTTCATCACTTCCTACGTCGCGGACCCGTTTTGCTCCCTTCCCATAGCATTTTTACTTCCTTCGCCACTTCCTACGCCACGGAACTGTTTCCCTCCCTTCCCATAGCATTTTATGATTGCATATACCTCAATCTAATCGTCATAAACAGTTCCAACACTCCGGACTGCTCACCTTTACTACTTCCTCGCCACTTCCTACGCCACGGAACTGTTTCCCTCCCTTTCCATAGAACTTTATGATTGCAGATACCTCAATATAATTGTCGTAAACAGTTCCTACACTCCGGACAGCTTGCCTTGACTACTTCCTTCATCACTTCCTACGTCGCGGACCCGTTACCCTTACTTCCCATAGCATTTTAGGATTGCAGATATCTTCATCTAATCATCATAAAGAGTTCCCACACTCCGGACTGCTCGCCTTTACTACTTTCTTCACCACTTCCTACGTGACGGGCATGTTTCCCTCTCTTCCCATAGCATCATAGGATTGCAAATACCTTAATATAATGGTCATAAGCAGTTCCCACACTCCGGACAGCTTGCCTTGACTACTTTCTTTATCACTTCCTACGTCGCGGACCCGTTTTCCTATCTTCCTTTATAATTTTTGGAATGCAGATACCTTAAATCTAATCGTCATAAACAGTTTCCACACTCCAGACTGTTCACCTTTAGTACTTTCTTTAACACTTCCTACGTTGCGGACCTCAAGCTAGTGTCGTCATTTGATTATTTTATGATCCATACCACCGTTTATGTTCTAATATCTGTGGAATAATGCTATCAGCTATTTATTTATCTACTGCATTCAAAAGTCAACAGCTGATCATATGTCTTTGTTTATGTGTCAAATACTGCTTCCATAAGGATTACATTGAAACTTTGAGACCCAGTGGGGCGGATTCCTGAGAGTTATTTTTAACGCCATATAGATGTTGGCACTCACCGATAGGGTCTTTATCACCATCCAAAATTTGAAAACGATTGGTTCAGCCGTCTAGGAGGAGTTTGCGTATTACGAAATGCATAAAAGTCGACGTATAAGAGCTTCGCTCAATTATTTTTCAAATACAGCTTACGCTCATGTACAACAAGTAATTTGTGTTGAGTTTAATAAACGTTTTGAATCATTAAATTACTTGTTAATTACTTTTAGTTGCTTTAATGTACAAAATGTGAGAAATATACTGTATGTGAAACTCATAACTATAAAACATTTCAGCACCCAGCTTTTTATTCACAACCTTAAATAGAAAATCAGTTCATACTTTTCCTGATTTTAATGGACAAAGAGTGTACCCTACTCACTAATTATCAACATTAAGTTATATTTAATTCCCTATAACTATAACTAAAAAAAAATCAACTAAAATCATTCAATCAATATTATTTATTTAGAAAAAAAGAACAAATGTATTTTTTGGGGCATTTTTAATGTTATTGGTTTACAAGTACAGCACCCGTGGCCAAAAGGGGCACAAGATGTGGAAGTAAGACAACCTGTAAGATGGCAAATGGTTAGTACAGAATCAAACAACACTTAGAACCACCACACAACAGTATGAAAAAATCCCTTGAAAAACATACAACCGATATTTATATCGCATGAAAACTATATCCGATATGTCTAAATATTTCATCCAAAAATATATTGTAGTTTCTCAGTGGAACTCTGTGGAAAGTCAGCGCTGACTTGAACCCTCCACTGACAGTCTGTTCCCGCTCGTGTACCAGCAATGTTGTATATTCGTGATAGGCCTATCAAACTAAAAGTATTTATTTTTATGTCGTACGTGTAGTGTGTAAATGTATTTTGTTGTGTAATGTGTTATGACAACAAAGCTATTCAAGTGGATCTACATATTCCTGTAATGAAGTGTTTGACAATGGCAGCTCGCCGAAACATGTAACACGAAGATAACTTGACGAAGGTTACTTTGGGAACTGATAAAGGTAATGTAAAACCAAATATTTTATGTATTACAGTTCCGGGGCTACAACAATGACTTTTAATTGAAACAATGTCTACAGAAATACAGTATTTTATTTCAGCTACCTACAGAAATGTTACAATGGGCTAGAAAATACCAACTATAAAACTAAAAGTTACTAAAGCATTTTACATAACGTATTACTTATACTTAAGCCCATTATTTTTTGGAACCTTTTCAGATAAACTCGGACTTTGTTATCAGATGATTGGTTCTGAAACAGCCCATCCTACCTTTGTAAATTGACTCAAGCTGATAACCATTCTGTTTCAGTCTCACACTCATTGCCGCAATGTTGCTGATCAACTTGTCGGAGTAGTTCTGATCAAGAATACTCTGACTCACGCTATCCACTAAGATCATGAGTTCTTGTACTGAAAAATTATTATTTTATTTACTGCACTTCATAATAATAACTGTCAAGGTACCAGTACATCAATTTTTTTTTATTGTCCACGCCTACGCCTTAACCAGGTTTAGGTTTTTTTAAACGATATTTAAAAACTTTTATCACGGACATTTTCCATCATGATTAGGCCTACTGAAATATTAAGTTTCCATCACAATTACTGAAATATAAATATTGCTAGGGCCTATAATCTAAAGTTTAATAACGATCCAGAGACTATTTCTCCAAATTAAATAATTCCATAACTTTACAAGATATGGAATCTAATCTTGTCCTTGAGTAAGAAAATATTTAAAACATTACAAGATTAGTCGATAAACCAAACAAAAACTGGAAATCCACAAATAAAATCACCAAATCAAGCTGGATTGTTTACGGACTCAGATGCCCTTCGTTATCCTGGGTTATCTTTTTTTTTATAAAATGAAATGCTATCAATAAATAACAACTTACTAAGTTAGTTACGTACGGTCTAAAGTCAACCTTGTTACTTGTAACAAGACCAAGGTTTGGATTGTTCTCTTAAGAAAAAGTATGCCTATGTTAATATCATGGTGTCAATAAAAAAAACAAGCCTAACCACTTGGTAGAATTAAGCTAAATGGCCTATATTTGGTGTGCTCAAGGTTCTCTTTATAGGCTAAGTCTTGATATTGCAATTCTTGCTATAAAAAACATGGAAGTTAACTTATTTCATTTTTTACCTTCTCAATATGAGTACAATATTATTATCAACTGGAATAAACAATATTTATCAGCTTTAGATAGATAAAGGACTCTATGCTAGCTTTAAAAAAAGCAATGAGTTAAGTGATAACGACTGGCATACTTACAGTGGTCAATATTGGTGAAGTCTGCAGATATTCTGCTTTGGCTGCTAGACGTCCTAAGAGGTCGAGGTCGTTGAAGTTTCTTGTTCTGTTCAGCTTTAGTGCTTAAGCTTCTCATCAGTGGTGGGGCTGCCATTTTCTGTGATTCAGAAAAGAATGTTTAAATAATACATTTACTTTAAGGGTGTACTGTTAGGGTGACAAATATCTTACCGTAACTCGTTTTGATTCACTTGGAAACATCTACTTTTTTCCAGACCAATCCACACAAATTAATTAGGCCTACACATGTGCCTTCAGCATTTAACACAGAACACAGGGGAACCTAGTAAGTTATAAGTTACAAATCCAAACAAAAACTAAATTGCAATTATTTTCTTTTTCAAATTGATACTGTTCAATGAAATGGCGACCATACATAGTAGGTATTTTAAGCCAAGTATGAATGGAGATGAGTGTAGGATGAGTGGCGCGATATTATAGTCTTGTTAGTGACTAAGGCCGACATTCCTTAGACACAGCTGTTAATTAATAGCCCATACAGCTAATGGCAACCAAGGGACCTACAGTTTATAGATTTCCGAACCACATTTTTGCCTTGGTTTATACGAATTGGTCTTAATTATCAGGATAGTACTGCGGGTAGTCATAGTAGGGCTACTCACTCGTGCGGACAATCCACACCAGGGTGTATCGCATCCACAGTGCATGCCTATAAATATCCGGATATAAGTTAACATCCTGCCTAACTAAGTCCCATTTGGGTTAGAAATAGGCTAATAGAAGGAACCCTAAGTTAACTTTTAAGTAGCCTAAGTTTTACCAACATTTGACTCTAACCTCTTAATTAACTGTTAATGTACTGACCCCTACTGCTTTCAATTTTTTTTAAGCATTTTTACTTACTTGAATAGTGTACTTACTTACTTACTTAAGTTTGGTTGGTTAGGTTAGGTTATGATAGTTTAATTTTATAATAGATAACTTAACCTATATTTTAAAATATCGGTTACTAACTTAATCAATATTTTCAATTCGATGGTTTCAATCAATTACCTTATTACTATTACCGTATCTTCATCTTTTACCCAAAAGAGATTGATGGCGTCAATACTTTCAAAAATATACATTTAGACAAACTGACATAAATACAAAACATATTTACAACATTGGCAATGTGGATAGGCGGATCAGTCAGAAAATTCTGGGAAAATGTCTTCAAAAAATTGTTTTAGGGAATAGTAGGCTCTTGACTTGAGTAGAGGGACCAGCTTCTTTAAGGAAAGCTTACGCTCAAGCTGTTTGATAGAGTTGGGCAGCTTGTTATAGATTTGTATTGCTCCCGTGTTGTAACTCTTCTGGGATCTTGTCAGCCTAACCCTGGGCACATCAAGCAACCCGCGCTGCCTAGTTTGGTGGTTATGAACCGCTGAACGAAGTTGAAAGTTGGCGCAGTTGTCATGGATCATCAGTGAGCATACGAGGATGTAATGGCTATAAACCATGAATATCCCCAGCCTTGCAAAGATGGGTTTGCAATGGGCAAGGCGGTCACTAAATGTAATATGTCGTACAGCACGTTTCTGGATCACTAATATGTCCTCAACATCAACGGCATGACCCCAGAGTAGTAGGCCATAGCTCACATGACAGTGGAACATGGCATGATAGATGTTAAGCAGGTACTGTTCAGTAATAAAATTTCGCAGCTTGAGCAGAAGACAGCACACCCTAGACAGTTTGCTGCTAACGTTGCCTATGTGATTGTTCCAGGCCAATTTCCTGTCCAGATGGAATCAAAGTAGCTTAACTGGTTCATTAGGTGGGGCATTTCTTGCCAGACTGCAGACAAGTGTCTGGGTTTTTTCCTGGTTGAGCTGAAACCCATTTTCTTCGAACCAGCGGGATGTTACGGAGAGATGTTGGTTGGCATCTGCAGTGGACAGCTCAACTTGGGGACCCCGTGACACCAGGGTTGTGTCGTCAGCAAAAAGCACCACCCCTCCATCTCTATCAAGGTCATTAATCATTACCAGGAACAACAACGGACCTAATAAGTTAACTTACCGTATTAGCGTAGCCCAGTTAAGAAACTGTACCCCTACACAATATGCCACTTTTCCCCAAGTGTAACACAATGTAACATATCAGCCTAAAACATTAAACACGCTTATAGCTTCAAAGGAAAAATGCCTTTAAAAGGTTTTATAGGACCCTACTTGTAGGTAGGCTTTTTAAAAGCTATTAAGTTAAAATCCTTAGAAATACATACAGGCCTAACTCTAGAGATATCTCCATAGGCCCCTACTAACTACCAACCAAACTTATTTTCACCAAGCCTAGGCCTAGGCTAATGCATAAAAAATATTTAGGGTAGTCTAAGCCAAGGCTACCCAGCTTACCCTAGGTTTATCTTCCCAAATTAAGAACCCAAGTAGGGGGCCAATAAGAATAAGTGAGTGAGTAAACTGTTATAAATAGGCCCTAACTTATAGGGTGAAGCTTTTTTACTTATCTCCATTGCTATGATATTTGAGTACAGCAAAGGGTAGCCTATTTAGTATTAATCACTAATTATTTTAAGTCATTATACTTTCCCATGAGAATGAAGCAAAACAGATAACCACTCCTTAATTTTCCTATGATTGTTAGCAGTTTGTGAATATAAGGTTAACTATATATATATATATATGATTAAACAGAGACTGAATAACAAAATGCCACAAACCCTTTTATTACCTAAAATCCAAAATGTAAGTTATAGTTGTTGCCCTCCTTCCAGATTCAATTTGGAAATTCTAACCTAAACCTACAAATAAAAATATTTGCATTTTGATGAAATAGCTTTTTTTGCAAGGACGTCATTAGTAAAATTCGCGAATCAGAAAAATAGAACATAGTGGTTTTCGGCATTTTTTGTTCTATGTAGCTACTTAAACTGGAACTACGACGGCATTGAAGGGCCACCAACTGTAACAAATTTTTTCTTCATCTCTGAGAAAAAAACTTAGGATTTTAAGATTTAAGTTAGAAAAAGGGAAGTTTCTTAGATAAAAGTCAGAATTCTGAGTTTAAAATCGGAATATCACTGTTATAAGTATTAATTTATAATCTAATTGTATTTTTTTTATTTTGCTGTATTGGCACAACTGTAACTTTCAGTAGTGGGGGAGCCTCGTCTGTCTGTGAGTCTCTTTCTTCTCTAATTATTTGGGTTTAATAAAGATGGCAACTTTTGAGTTTACTGAAGATGTTTGTTTTATTTAAATAAATTATTTACATTCACCACAGCCTACTTTAATAATAATAAGAACAGAAGACCATACGCTAAGTAGTGGGCGTTCCCGTTCCCCTCTGAGATTAAAGTCAGAATTTAACTACTGTAGTAGTGGGCGTTCCTGACTCTCTGAGAAAAAAGTTAGAATTACTGTATTAGTTTAGTCATATAGTTGTAAGGTGGGCCAGATCTTGGCATCTAAACAATTAATTTCGACTTTTAATAAGGAATTTTTTAACTTAGAAAACCGAAATTTTGACATCAAATACAAAGGGAAACGCTAGTTTGGCATGGATATTTCAGTAGTTATAATGTCGATTCGGCGTGGGATGTTGTGGTATCGATGTTTTAGCCTCGAAAACATCTATGTTTTCGCTTTATGATGCTATATTGGCGCATCGATGCTCATTCCTACTACCATCATAGACAATTAAAATTATTAAATACCCCCGCCGCAACACACCAGCAGACTAAGTGAATTTTAATTTGCCCAATTGGATTTTCAATTAAATTTAGTTAAATAACATTATTTTAAACAAATATACCTAGGTTTTCTGCTACAGGGAGGGTAGGGTAAAAGTACCATTTTTAGCAGAATATTAATATCTTAGTATAAAATAAGTTAATTTGCCAAGTTTGATCAAAATATTTCCTTAAACGAGCAATATACAACAGTGCACAGTAATTTTAAATTTACGATTTTTTTCACAACCAATACGGTAACCATTAAAAACCCCTTGACAATTTACTAAAATTATTTGTTTTTTAAGCTCTAAAAATGGTATTACGAGAAATTGGGAAATATTTTGTTTGAGGGTCAAAAATGAGAAAAAATGTATCCTATAAAACCCCCCTAAAAACCCTGTAAAACCCTGTGCACATAGTCCGATCATTCTGGTTCGCGAACTCATTCAAGTTTATCCCACCCTACACCTTCAAGCAAAATTTCATCAAAAACGGAAAAATAATTGTACTCAAGTTATCGCGTTTACGGACAACACACATAAATGTGTATGTTCATAAAATTTCAAAATCATATGATAATTTACTTATTGATTATTTACATTTCTATTTATTTAATATTTGTTCATAACCTGTGATCAAAAGAACCGAAACATGTTAGTTATTCAATAATATAACTTAAAGGGTACTAAATGTTTAATTATTTATTTAATTTACTAATAAATATATATATAATATATATATTTATATTTATATAACTTAGCTCTCTTGGACTTGACTATGGCCTCTGCTCTGACCGAAACGCCATAAAGCAGGAGGGTTGACAGGGTACTGCAATACCTTGACGTGGCAACCGTATACTCTAATAAAATAACATTTTATAAGTTCATTGGCCATTGGGTCAGTTAGTGTATGGTAATTATTTTGTTTCTTATTTTTTCTTAGTTGACCTTTAGATTTACAGTATTTTTACAGAGAATTAAGAGTATGGGACATAGATAGATTTTACCATTGACTTTTACCGGGCTACTTTTATCATAGAACCAACACAAGTTTTGGTCCCTAAGGGAGTATGTTTTATCTATGGTTTTATCCACGATTTCATCCCTCAGCAGAATACAAACTATAACCATGATAGACTAACCATTAACCAAACACATAAGTAGACTTCTTCTCCTCATCCCATATAGTAAATTTTGAAGCTTAATATTTTTGGTGTCTAGTTCAAGTGCGGTGACACTGGTCGCTAGTGTCGACGAAATTCTTTTCTATTATTTTAGAGTTAATTTCATGATTTGTGCTTTACTGTTTTATTATGTAACTAGCGGAAACGTTATTGCTTGATTAGACAGTTTTATTTATTTAAAAAGCGTTAGACTGAAATAACAAAAAAAAATTGTAAACAAAACACGACATCTACTGTAGATGTCGTGTTTTGTTTACAATTTTTTTTTTTTTTTGTAACAGTGCACCAAACTGAAACTCTGTCTCTACTAATAATAAAATTGGCTTCAGATTTTCCATAAGGACGATAAATCTACTAAGGGAGTGTGTTATCTATTCTATATTATGCACTGTATCGTATTTTTACTTTTAGGCACTTATTATGCCACGCCACCAACCTCACGATTAGGCACTTTGGGATTATGCACTATGAGACATCACGAAAGCTCACTTATTCATTTTAAGTTGGCTATTCTGGAGATACTTTGTTCCCTTGCACTGCACAGTGCACACATACAAATTCTTGGTTTTGGTGGTATATTTAACTCTTACAGCACCTTCCCGCCAAGTCAACACTTTTTTCTCTGACATCTTATCATCTGTGAGATAGAATAGAATATCAAGTGTGTTAGTGTTAGTGTGTTTAATACAGTGATTTAGCAAATGCTATATGTCAGTTGAAAGTTATTGTACCTAATAAAGTTACCATCAATCATTCTGTCTCTGTCTCTACATTTCTTTTTCAGTTGCAAGTTACAAGTTATCTTTAAAATTTGCCTCATCTTTTAACAACAAATCTTTAATGGAGAATATGTTAGGTCTCATTAAGACCTTGACCTGGATTTTCTTTAAATTTTCTCCTTAATTAAGTGCAAATGCTTAAGAAAGAAATCGAAAACCTTAATGTGTATAGAATAATAAGAAAAACTAATTTTACCCTATAAAACCCTTCCTGCATAGTCTGACCATGACTGTATCACAAACTTGTTTGATTTGTGTTGATGAAGGTTTACACATTTGTACCAAACTAGCCGCTACCCGTGCCTTGCAAAGGGGTGCAAGATGCAGAAGAGGCAATTTTGGTTCCTTGAAAATAATGGCAAAGGAGCTTGAGAATTATAATGTTCCCTAGATCTGCTGTGTAGATGGACTTTTCTTAATTTACTATTAGTAGAAGTAAACATCTATTTTAAAATTATATTTATTTGTAAGAATTGCAGTTCCAAAAGTCTGACATTGGACCCCTCAAAACCCTCTGGGGCGGAACCCTTTTGACGGATCTGCACCAAACTTCACACAAACCATCCTTGAATAATGTTCAATAAAGCCTGAAAGTTTCATTAGAATCTTTCGGGCGGTTTCGGAGTCCATAGGGTATATACATACATACCTACATACTTCCTCTTTTATAGATATAGATTTAATCAAAATCAAATCATTTTTGCTAAAGTTATTATGCCAATGAACACATCATATAAATGCAGTTTATGAAAAAAATGAATTTCCATGTCCAGTCTTACTATTTGAGACCTTAGGTTATAGTTCATGCCTATATGAGAAATTTGCTAAAACAAGACAATTTAGCATCTAAAATTCACAGCAACAAGAAACAGATAATTAACCTGTGGTACTGTAATAGGGGATGATGGATCATTGGAGGTTACTCTGATTATTCCTTTAGGATGTAAGGCGGGATTTTCAAACTTCTTTCCATAATTCCAGAAATATTTGGGACTATAGTTATGAAAAATTAAATTTGTACTTATTTTTCAGCGTTGAAATGACGGATATTTTTCAGGAAGTGTCAATAAATTATATACCTAGTCTTGTGGAAGTATTTAAACAGTCATTTGAAAACTACTATCCAGTAAGTAATATAAATTTAATCTACTTATGGCGATTTATTGTATGATTTTAATGATAATTCTTTTTAAGATTTTAAAGCAATACAAAGAGTCTAATTTCCAATCCAGTAGATTAAGTCTAGAAAATCTTGTTTGTATGCATAATTGGTGACTGTTGTAAATTTTGTAATTTGTGGAAATGCTAATAGAATTTGCGATTTTTATGGTTTAATTCAGGATTAGACAGTTCCGAAATATTTCAATTACCTAAAATAGCATTATATGTTCCTCATTTTTTTTATGAAATCCCAGTTCAAGAACTTAAGAATTATATTATTTTACCTTTGTTTTCCAGCTTGTAGTTCTTGAGTAAGTAAGATTTTTGTGCCACTCTTTCCATTTCACCAGCTTGTTTGGCATCTTATAGGTCTTTCAAATTTGTCATCTTATCACCAACACTATTATATATTTCAAAAAAATATTTATTTGCTTATTTATATAATATTTATACCCTTGCGGTCAATAGTATCACGTTCAGGTTATTCGGACAACTCTACAACAGACACGCGCCTGAGTCACGACAGGACATCTTTCTAACAGGAATTGATGGTTTACATTACGGTACCATTATTAGTCAACGACGGTCTATGTTTTGCCAGCTATATTTTTATCATAACTTACTTTAACATAAACACTTAATAATAATTTAATTTCAGTTCTGCCAGTATGTTGAAATCATGGGTGAATACAACAATGCGGGTGTGAAAAATCCAAAACAGACTCTTTACAGATATGGATCACTAAGAACCGGAGTCTATTTATTTGAGGCTCATTTTGATGTAAGTAAAATAATAATGCTTGGTTACGTAACAGCTGAAGTCATCAAGGGTGATTCATCCGCCATTTTGAGCAACATTAAAATAAAAAATTGTTATTACTTAGTTACATACCTATTTGAGAATAAGTAGCGAAACGGCTACTTACTGTACCTCTGGCGAGTAGCAATTTTAAAGGCAATCATAGATATAACTAGACTTTGGGCTTGGATTAACCAGTATTTTTGCTT